AACCTTGTTGTGTTGTGGCCGGGCATGGTGGCACATGCCTGTAATGCCAGCACTCAGGAGGCTGAGGCAGGAGGATTGCTGTGAGTGCGAGACCAGCCTAAGCTACATAGTGAGTTTCAGGTCAGTCTCAACTACATAGTGAGACTCTGTCTCAAAAAACCCAAAAACCTTGTTGCATTATATGTACTTCTGTGCATTTTTTTCAGTTAGTTTATAATCTTACTCTGCTGATAAATATTCTCATTTTTAGTAGCTGCACAATATTCGAACATGCAGATATGTTGTAATTCACTTACCCAATACTCTACTGTTGGAAATTTAAAGGCTTGTTTTTTCCTTTTTTGGCTATAATGAACATTGCGATAGATGTTTGTGTATGTCCACGATGAAGTCGTAGGACAGATTTCCAGCAGGGGAATTCCTAGTTGAATGATACTCCTGTGTGATGTCAAAAGTCATCTCGAGCAGCTCCCCAAGTGTGGGAGCGAGGCTGAGCACGTGTTCTGCCCGTCCCTCTCTGTTTAGCAGGGTCTGTGTCACGAGGACTGAGATCTAGGGGAGGCTGAGATGCCAAGGCCCTGACCCACCCATGCCTGCCACCCTGGAAGGGGCTCCAAGAATTCCAAAGTCTCAAGTGGCTCTGAGAAGCCCTTCGTGGAGCTGCTGTGTTATTAGGCTGCTACTGAGCCCCTGAACAGCAAGTTTAGCGCTTGATGAGCTCTGGCGATGCTACCCTTCTGCCCAGGGTGCCTTGTGCCTGCAATAGAGGCATTTCTGCCTGGGCAAGAGCAACCCCCTTCTCTCTCAGTCTCTGTCATGTCTGAGCAGGGACCCCCGGGAATTCCCTCCCTGGGTGCTGGGATTTTGGATTTCTTGAACATCACGTTCTCAGCGGGTGTGCACGAGGTGAGGGACGTGACCGGAAAGGTCCAGGTCTAGGAAGCCCTGCCATCTCCCTGCCTGCTGTGAAGGACCCCGAGGGAAGCCGTCACTCGCCTCACACCCCAGGTTTTGCTTTGCTCAATGGTGTTTCCGGACAGAGCCTTCCCAGTGGCCTGCTGGTCTGAGCTGCGTCTTCTTGATGCTCTTGACGGGCCATTGAGGGTCTGCTGCTGGTTGTAAGTCTCTTTCAGGGAGCAGAGTCGGGCTTGTCCTCACAGAACTCAGAAAATGAACTCATAGGAACTTGGTCTCCTGCAGCAGAACCTTTGTTCCCCAGCTCCTGACCTGTTCTCCGGTTGTTGTCCCACAGACGATTGTTCCGGTTCAGTATGAGACAAGAATGGCCTGTGGTCTGGTCAAAGGTCATGCCTATTCTGTCACTGGACTAGAGGAGGTGAGCCTGGGGCCCTAGGGGTGCATGGGGACCCCTTGGCTCAGGATTTAGCTTTCTGCGCCCCTCATGGACTGTGGAGCTTGCTGCAAATCAGGGGACTCTGCTTGAGTGTGGGGGCTGTGGGACCTGCTAGAGATGGCCTTTGCCACAGACAGTGCTCACTGTATCTTTGCTTTTAGGGCAAAAAAACAGCAATTTTCCCAACATCTCCAAGGAAGGACTAGAAATATCACTTCTGTTCTATAAATGTGGTCATCTGTGTTGTCATGTGTTCTGTTGCTCGGGTTCAGTTACAATGTTATGCTCCTTCTGGGACCACGGACTTCCCTGGCGCGTGTCAGAGACGGGACCTCAGCTGACGGTGGCAGACAGTTGGGCAGGCTGTGCCCTGAATAAAGGGCACAAAGTCGGAAAGAATGTCAACCCAGTGCCACAGACCAGCGGGAAGGGGGACCTTTCTTTTTCTTTCTTTCTTTCTTTTTTTTTTTTGTACTAGGGATGGAATTCAGGACCTGCATCAGGCAGATGCAGGGCCACTGAGCTAAATGCCCAGCCCAGGGGCAGCTTTTCTAATTAGCCCATCTAAAGGGGCTTTTGTCTGTGGCTCAGCCACCTGAGGCCTTTTTTAAAAATTCACGCACCAAGCAGACACCAGATGTGCCAACAGCCCCTGCTGTACCTGCCTTCCCTCCTTCCTCCCCCAAAGCTCACAGTGACTGGCAAGTTCTTCAGGAAAATCACGTCTTAGAAGATACTGGGTGATAGCCAGGCCCCTTCTGACTCAGTCCTTAGTTGGGACCCTTCACCAGCTGTCCACAGGGAGCTCCGATTATCTCCTGGGCCGCCAGGCAGAACAGCTACCCTAACCCAGCCCTCTGGTGAGAGGAGAACCCAACCTCTGGGCAGATGGCTCGGGGCCTGAAAGCTTTTCTTTCCACCCCAGACCCTGTTCAAAGGCGAGAGAGTGAAGCTGGTGCGGCTTCGGAACCCCTGGGGCCAGGTGGAGTGGACTGGCTCCTGGAGTGACAGGTACAGGGGAGTAGGAGGGCAGACTGCCACACAACCACCCTCAGAACCAGTGACCCACAGAGGAGAAGGGTATGGCTGTGGGGAGCCAGGGTCCCCACGAGACTGCAGACAGTCATCTGCTGGAAAGGAAGAACTCCAAAAAGCTCACAAGACATCCGGGCGCAAACAGAGTCTTAGGCATCTCTTCACCTCACCTATAAAGTAGGAATGATATCGGTATCAGTACTTACAGTGTGGGCTGTTACGAGCAGATGCCATTTCTGTTTTTCATTTTGTTTTTTGGTTTGTTGAGACTGACCTGGAACTTACCATGTAGCCCAGGCTGGTCTCGAACTCACAGGGATCCTCCTGCCTCAGCCTCCCGAGTACTGGGATTACAGGTATGAGCCACCACACCTGGCGATGCCACCATTTTTGGAAAGTGCTTAGCTAGTGCTGAGATTTCCTCTCCACTGTTCCAATACAAAGTCACATAGGCCCTTTGAAAGAAATGCACTACTTGTCACTGAAAGGACTAGACTAGAGGCTCTAGCGCATTGGAAGCCCAGGCAGGAAGCAATTGCAAGGTTTCCACTGAGGTTCACAGTTCAGGCCAACATTTGGCTCACATGGGCTGCAATTGAGAGATGGGCTGTTTCTTCAATGCTACATTTCTGAGACAGCTCCTGCCCCACCCTAATACAGCCTTCCCTTCTTCCTCCTTCCGTGACTCCCGGGTTTCTCCACCAGCTGGAAGGACTGGAGCTTTGTTGACAAAGATGAGAAGGCCCGTCTGCAGCACCAGGTCACTGAGAATGGAGAGTTCTGGTGAGCCCCAGATCCAGGAGAACCAGGGATACAGCAAGGAGGTGAGGTCTCCGCCCTCAGTCCCTAGCCTGAGGCTGTCAGAGTCCAGGCTTTGGAGATCTGGGCCCATCCTCCTGTAGCCAGACACGAAAGCGTTAGGTCACAGGAGGCCCAGGCCAGCATGGGACAGCTCTTGTTCTGGCCACTTGCTGCTTGGCTTAATAAGGCTCCCTTCTGAGCCTAGAACACTCTGATCTCCCAGAGCCTCCCCCAGCCTCACTTAGATCCTCCCTGTGCAGGCTTCTGGTCTCAGATGAAAGGCAATGCTCCATCCATCTGTGCTGCTTGTCGCCTTTAATTAAAATCACTCACTTGATAGTTTTTCCCAAATGACTGCTCTTCCAACTTTTTAGAGAACTGAATTTCTGTCGAGCTGTCCCATCAAGGCCTTCCGAGTTTGTGTCATTCCTGGAAGCCTAGATGACAGCTCGGGGTAGACGCATTAGAACTGATGGCACCTGCTATATGGGAAGAGCAGGGTGTGCTGGGAGCTCGGCCAAGCTTCTCTAAGCTCACGTGTGGTCCATGTCAACTCTAGGGTCTGCCCTCCCCGGGCCCTTCCTCATCTGCTCCCCTGTGGCTCTCTCCTTGGCCCTCTCAGGATGTCATACGATGACTTCACCTACCACTTCACGAAGCTGGAGATCTGCAACCTGACTGCCGACGCCCTGGAGGCCGACAAGCTGCAGACGTGGACGGTGTCAGTGAACGAGGGCCGCTGGGTGAGGGGCTGCTCTGCCGGAGGCTGCCGCAACTTCCCAGGTGGGGGACACTCCTGGAGGGGCGGGGTCCGAGCGGCCAGAGTCCCAGGTAGGATAAGAGTCACAGTCACGCATGGAGCCCATGCCCAGCTCCAGACAGCCACTATCTCGTTAAATCCTCCTGTTTGATGGAGAAGAAAGCCGCCATGCTGAGAAGTTTGCAACAGGGAGCTGGTAAAAATGTCGAAGCAGGGAAGAGTCAGAACAGCATCTTGTGAGTTGCTCGTGTTGAAGACAAGGCTGGAGGAGTCACTGGAGAGCCTGTGGCTGCTGAGATGACAGACCTGGGGGAGAGGAGACGGCTGTGTGGGGAGAATGAAAAATGACGTCAAGACTCCCGGGGTAGGGACCTAGCAGGTGGTGTCAGTATTGCAAAATGAGAATTGTGGAGAAAGAAAACTGCTGTGGTGTTTGTTTTTGATGGGGTTGGTTGTGGGGTTATAGGAAGAGGACTTTAGTTTGGTAAGTGGAAAGTTTGAGAAACCCAGTTGAAGGTTTGTAATATAGAATTAGACACACATATTAGGAAAGTATTTGGTTACATGATACAGACTCAGTAAGTATTCGAGGAAGAAAGTGGAGAGGGTGGGGAGGGAGGAGGAGAAGAGGGGGCAGGGGTAGGAGGTCAGCAGAGACCTAGTTGGGATCTGTGCCTCAGGTGCTGTCAGTATGTAGAGGTGAGTTGAAGTGTGGAGTTTGTGGGCTTGCCTGGGGAGACAGGAGAGGTGGTAGAGAGCAGAGGAGACTTAAGACCTGATCCCAGGGACCCACAACATTTTGGGGGCAGATGAGGAAAATAAAGCTGTTAGTCAAGGCTACAATGAAAGTTCAGAAGGCCGGGGATTTAGCTCAGTGGTTCCACCACCTGCCTTGCAAGCACAAGGATCTGAGTTTGATTCCCCAGTACCAAAGAAAGAAGGAAAGTTCAGAGAAGGAAGGACACCCACACATCCATTCCACACAGCTCCATATGCATAAGGTAGAGGCTCCACTCACCAAATTCTTGAGCAGATACCTGACTCAGTTTTGTGATAAGCATGTTTTAAACTGGGGCTCACCAGAAAGGCAAAACCAATAAGATGGGTGAACAGAGGGTAGATCCATTGGGGGAACTGGCTCACACGACCCTGTCTGAGCCCCAAGACAAGCCATGGGCAAGCTGGAGAACCCTGGGACACCAGCATGCATGGGAGTTTGGAGGTCCTGGAGTCCAAAGGCCAGAAATACTGGAGTTCTGATGTCCAATGGCAAAGAGTGTCCCAGCTCCAGGAGAGAGAGGAGAAATGGGTCTCTATGGTGGCCTTCAGCTCACTGTACAGTACCGCACCTGGCCCAAGAAAGAACTTCCCCTTCAGTCCCCAGTTTACAGGCCGCTCTCCCGCAGACACCCTTGCCGATGCAGCAGTCCTCTGGGTGTTAATCCATCAGACTGACACCTAAATTAACCATCGATGGGGGACAGAGATGAATGAGCTCTCTCTCGTTTCCTTCCTGCCCTTTCTGCAAGAGGGAGATCTGAACCTGCATTTCCTTTCCGGGGGGCACAGACACCTTCTGGACCAACCCACAGTACCGCCTGAAGCTGCTGGAGGAGGACGATGACCCCGATGACTCCGAGGTCATCTGCAGCTTCCTGGTGGCACTGATGCAGAAGAACCGGCGCAAGGACCGGAAGCTGGGCGCCAACCTGTTCACCATTGGCTTTGCCATCTATGAGGTGTGCGGGCCCAACCATCTCCGGCACAGGGAGAAGGGCTTGGGAGCTTCCCCAGAGCTGCAGCTGTCGGCCTCACTTGTGTCTGTAACAAGCAGAAAACGCTGGGGGTACAGTGGAGGGAGGCTGGGCTGGTAGGGTGGACACAGTGAGGATCAGTCTGCAATTGCTGCGCTTCCCTTCGGCCAACACTGTCTCTGCTCAGGTCTGAGGCTGCGTCTTCTGTTTCTCTCCAAGGTTCCCAAAGAGGTACTGCAGTAGCGGCAACAGCGGTTGTGTGCGGCATTCTCTGGGGTCCCGAGTCTGTCTGTGGCTTGTGAGGAGCTTCCTGTGGGGTTTGTGGGCAGGACTGGGGCGCGGTGTGAACGTTCATCCTCCCGCCGACACTGCCCGTCCGGCAAGCCCCTTCACACACTCACACACACACGCACATGCACACACACACGTTCTGAGGGGCTGCCCTCTCTGGGAACCCAGCCTTGGGGCCCTTCCAGCGGCTGTTCTGGTGAGTGGCCTTGTGTGGGGTGATGGACTGGACTCTTACTTCTGAATCTTGGCAGAAAGGCAGAGGCAGGGAGATAGGGAACTCCAGAGACGCTGAGCTAGTTGAGACCTTTGCCCTGGAAGTAGGTGGATCAGACCGTAAAGTGGGTGTCCAGAGTTCTGGGAGGGGCTGCTGAGAGAGGCAGTGAGCAGGACAGGGCGACCCTGCAGGGCTTCAGGTCCATGGGCACCTCTGTCCCCAGATGCACGGGAACAAGCAGCACCTGCAGAAGGACTTTTTCCTGTACAACGCCTCCAGGGCCAGGAGCAAAACCTACATCAACATGCGGGAGGTGTCCCAGCGCTTCCGTCTGCCTCCCAGCGAGTATGTCATCGTGCCCTCTACCTACGAGCCCCACCAGGAAGGAGAGTTCATACTCCGGGTCTTCTCTGAGAAGAGGAATCTCTCCGAGTGAGTCCTGCCTGGTTTCCCCACCTGTCCCCAGAAGCTCTTGTGACCCATGTCAGAGATTGGAGGCAGGAAGGAGCTGGAGGGGTCTCCAGGACACGCTGACCAGTCTGCACCTCTTCCCCTCTACGGCACATCTGCCTATCATTGATCTGTTCATCGCACAGATATTTATTGAGAATCTACTGTGTCCCAGGCAGTCTTCTAGGCACCGGGGACAGACAAGTTAAACAGAGATTTCTGCCTTGTGACACTTAACGCTCAGAGCAGAGGTGGTAAATCTGGGGCACATGTGTTGTTTTTCACTTAGTCCAGAACATGTTAATGTATGAGTTATTTTTTCTAAGCCTTGGTATGTAGGTTTGATTGCAGCGTTGGTACTTTGCGATAAATAAGTGGGTTCTGGGTTGCACTTCGGGTGCTTGTCTCTGAAATGTTCACTGTCACTGATCTAGAGTGAGATAGCAATAGACAGGAAAAAAATATAGTATGCTTGATTTGAAGAAGGGATGAAAAGTTAAAATAAAATAGGGAAGACGTAGCTCCACACAGTAGGTGTGATTAAAATTTTAGGTTCGTGTGGCAAGGGAAGCCAGCAAGACCACACCCATCGTGGATGTCCCAGTAGGCACTGCCATTGTGATCCCTGTGCCCAGAAGCAGCTCCAGGCCTGTGGGTAGCTGGCAGGGCCTGGGCTTGATTGTTGAGGGTGCTGCCCACGTGGAGCTCGTACCTGGGTGAAGGTTTAGTCCCAGGGTTTCTCCAAAAGTCAGTCCCAATTTGGGCCCCAGAAAACCACGTGACCTGAGAAAATCCTCTGTGTATCTCCTGCTTGCTCCTGGTGACACAGAGACACCCGCAATTGTGTTTTTCACAGGGAAGTTGAAAATATAATCTCTGTGGATCGACCAGTGGTGAGTGCAAAGGCCCAGAGGGTCACTTTACAAACTCTGCAGGGGACGGACTGGGGGTGGCATGAGGAGCAGGTACTGGCAGAGGGATGTGGGAGTTGGGGTGGTGGGACAGTCACGGCATGTCATTGCAGTTTCTGCTTGGCGTGGCCAGAAGCAACATGTCTTAAGGTCTTCGGGCTGTTTAGTCAGTTCAGGGACTGGGAATATGGGAGAGAGGAGAAGCACTTTGAGTAATTGGAAGAAAGAAACAAGGCCATAGGAAGGGATGAAAAGAGCAGCAGCTAACACTGGAGTATGAGGTTGGATAACTGGTTTCTCATGCACAGAAAAGGCACCCAGGGTCAGAGCCTTCCACCAGCTGGCAGCCTGGATGAGCTAGCTATGTGACCCTCTGACTCAGTTTCCTACTCCACAGAGTGGGAATAATGGGCCTGGCAGTGCTTTGTGGAGCTTGGACCACTGGCGGTACATAAATGACTATTTCATCGGGTGGCTTGTATCACCCAATGGGACAGTTGTGCATGCGCCACCTAAGGTTTAGAGCCGGCAGGCAGTAAGACGTGAATTACAGCCCCACTGTGAATGTGTCAAATCAGTAAAGCTGTGTGAAACATCTGGCACAGTGTAGATTCTCAGATAGAAGTTATTGCCCATTTTACAACTTGCAAGCTACATTTTCCATGTGTTACCTCACTGGATCTTTTCCAAATTGTTTTCTGAGAAGTTATCTCCCTGCCTTTCAAGCAAGGGCAGAAACTCAATACTGGTAAATGACTTGTGTTCACAGGGCTGATAAGTCCAGGTGGGGCAGGAGCTCATGTTCAGATCGAGTCCACTCTGTGCTGGGGCCAGCCTGGGGCTGAGCAGTCTGGGCTCAGCAGGGCAGAGCTGGAGCCTACGGGGTCTATACCGAGGAGTTGTGTGTCTCCTTCGCTTTGGGGTCTGGTTAGTAAACAGTGCGTGTGACCTGAGCCAACAGGAGGATGAATGTCTCACTGAACTGCCTTCCGGTGGTGTCATCCCGACCCCATGCCAGTGACAGATCTCTGGAGGCCTCCAGAGTAGGACAAATGTTTGGTCTTAGTGTCACATGCATTTGGCTCTGTTTCTCCCTTGGGCCAGTGTACAAGATTCATCAGGAGCTGCACATCTGAAATCTAATGGGAGCCAGCATGTACCTAACTGGCAGTCAGGCAGGTATAGGGGCACTGGTGTCCCTGTGCTGCCGCCCTCACCCACAATTCTCCAGTGACTCTCGGCTTCCGTGCAGGAGGGACAGACAATAGGAGTGGCATCTGGAGGGTGGAGGGTGGTGACGCCCCCAGCTTAGCTGGCTGTTGCTCAGTGGCGTCTAATTTTACAAAAGGAACCCCAACCCCCGGTTTCCATCTTAAATTTCCTTATTTTAAATGTTTACTAAAAAATATTTTAAAATATTCTATAAGTCCAACTCATTTTTAGGCCAGTCTGAGTCTCATTTTTTATGTTTGTTCAGTTTTGTTTTTTGTTTTTTTTTCTTTCAGTTTTTTGAGACTAGGTCTATGTAATTCAGCTTGGCTTTGAACTCACTATGTAGCCTATGCTGGCCTCAAACTGTCCGTGATCCTCCTGCATCAGCCATCTCAGTGTGGGATTACAGGCGTGCGCCATCACACTGGCCCCACTTTCGATGTTTTAGTAACTATTTTTAAAAATTAGCCAGAGGTTCCATTCCTTGACCAAATCCAACAACATGGATAATTAAAGCCATAGCAGCGGCCAGTCTCTGGACATGGGGAAGGAAGAGGGAAGAACTTTCCTTCCCCTGCACCCTCCCATGCTCCCTTTCAGCTGCAAGTAACCCAGGTATCTGGACCCTAAAGGCTCACCCAAACTAAGGGTCAGGACACAGGCAATCCCAAAGCCACTGGCCATCCTGGGAACTTGCTTGCACTCATTCTCCATTTTTGTTTTCTCTCCTCATCCAGAAAAAGAAAAAACACAAGGTGGGTGTAACAGGGTGAGTGGGTACAGCGTGCATGTGCATATCTGTGTGTATGCATGTGCGCATGCACCAGACTTGACTTCCTCCCCTCCTTCGCCGAGTCCCTGCTGGAGCTGGCTGTGTGTGATAGTGACAGTTGACAGGGATGAGGACACTGTGCTGGGCATGCTGCCAGCTCTTCTCTTTCGGATAACTCGCTCCTCACAAGAACCCCAGGGGATTGGCGCCATTATCGATCCTCATTCTCGGAAAGGAGAAAAGGTACAAATGGACTAAACTGCCCAAGGACAGGGCAGAGTCCGCACCAGAGCTAAGCTCTGGCTCCAGACTGTAGCCTGGCCTAGCACCGGCCACCGGACAGGGCTTGGTGCTCATTTTTATGGAAGTGCCTGAGGACCCATCACAGGGATTCTCGCAAGATGGGTGCTGCTCCAGACCAGAGCCAACCCTCACCAAAAGGTGGTGACCTTTTTTGCAGTTATACTAGCATCCATGGGGTAGGTGCTGTTATTATTCCCTTCACAGGCAAGGGCACAGATTCAGAGGTGACATTCCTGAGAAGTGACTTACCCAAATGCACACAATGTGTGTGAGGGAACTGAAACCGGAAACCATGTTTCTACTGCAAGACCTGTGTTTCCTGCCCCCACTTCTCTTAGACCGGTGTTGTCCAGTCCTGTACTTGGCCCAGATAAGTACTCGGCCAGGGTCGCTCCATGCCCACGCTATGTCCACTGGCACATGTTCCTCTGCAGACCATGACATCAGAAGCTCCCCAATGCTTGGAGAGACCTTTGCTTCAAAGGCAGAGCACGAGTTCTGGGGGGGATGCTGGGAGTCAAAGATGGGGGAGCTGTTTTCATAGACCTTCCCCCTGACCTGGCCTGGACAAACATCATGGAAAGACTCTGGGCCCCCCTAGTGGGCTCTGGGACTCTGCCTGCCCTATGGTTCCTGCATAGCAGCCTTTAAACTGCAGCCTTCCTCCTGCTATGGGGTGCACAGCCCCACCAGCTGACATAACATCTCCCACCCCTTTTCCTCTTCCTCATGCATGAGCATATCTTGAAAACATCCCTTATATTTGTGCTGCATGTTAAATATCTTTTCTGTACAGTTTTATTTTCAGCATCTCATTTGATTCCCTCCAGAGCCCTATCAGGAGGGAAAAGCAAGCTTTATTGTCCCCATTAATGGCTGAGCAACTGAGGCTAATGAGGACACTTCCCCCGTGAGGCAGGGCTGGTCAGTGCTGTGCCCGCGCATGGATCTCGCCACTCACCAGTCTTTTCTGCCTCACTCTGTGTCCCTAGAGATTCCTCAGTTGCTGCCTCAGTGGGAACTGAGGGCAAAGAGCTCTGCTGGCCTTGAACCGAGCAGCGGTTTATAATGGCTTTATTTACGCTGGACTTTGGGGAAAATTTAATTTGGAATTAGTTCTATCTGGAAAAAAAAAAAGTCTAAGGACTATTTTAAAACCACAGCCCAAGATCATTCTGCTTTTTAGCAGTCTCAGCCTTTCTGGATCTGTTACCTGGAGGTACCCTTGTAGCTGAAGACAGCTAGGGTGGAGATCAAAAGACATAACTAAGGCCCACAGACTTGGCACCTTTACCAGCTAGAGCCTGAACTGAGTTTTCCTCTCACTACACAAAGTTGTCGGGGGCAGTGCCTCCATGTGCCACTCAGCCTATAACCCTTGCTTCCTTCCTGCCCCTCCCCACCTCCCTCCTCTCTCCAGCCCATCATCTTCGTTTCAGACAGAGCAAACAGCAACAAGGAGCTGGGTGTGGACCAGGAGTCAGAGGAGGGCAAAGACAGAGCAAGCCCCGATAAACGAGAGAAATCCCCACAGGTTTCTGAGCATGTGGCACGACTAGGGGTAGCACTGTGTGCCAGAGTCCTCCTGTGCTCCTGGGCATGTGGAGACGGAGGGTTGCCTGGGAGTCTGTAACGCACAGGGTTTGGATCTGCCTCACTGAACAGTCTTGTAAGTGCCCCCACACTTGGGCTGCTGCTTGGATGCACATCTTGAGGGTTGGCGCCCCCCCGAATCTGGTCCGAGCACCGAAATGACAGGTTGGGCCTCCTCACTAGAGCTCGGCCAGCCAGGACAGCAAGAGAGGGTGGTAGCAAAGCTGAGAGAACAGCTGGAGAGAGCTAAGGGGGCACAACTGTCTTCAATCCTTGAGCTCTTGACCAGAGGTGGAAAAGAATAGTGGTGGCGGCGGCGGGGGGGTGCTATCAGAAATGGGATTCACTCCAGAACTCAGGGGAAGATGTTCTATTGGGGTGGGAAGGCGTGGTCACATACAGCTTAGAGAACGTGAGGCTAGGAGTCCTCTGTCCTGGGGCGTCCCTCAGTGGAGTGGGCGGGGGATCCTCAAGAACTTGGCCTTGATGACAGGAGGTGCTAGAGGAATCAGAATGCTCAGCCCTCTTTGGCCTGTAGGACCATGACCAGGTTCAAGAGTGAAGACCCCAGCTGGGGAGGATGGGAAGGACGGGGGGTGTGACATGTGCATGTCAGTGTGGCGCACGCGTGAGGTGGCAGGGCTGCTGAGGTGTGAAGAGCCACAGAGGCCTTGATTCTCACTCCGGCTCACCAGGTTGGATGCGAAGAGTATTAGTCAGCTCAGTGCTGGCTCCTGCTGCCACCTTACAGCTGTTTCCAGCACCCTGGCATCTTTCCGGGTGCTGTCCTCCCAAGTCCTTCATTCTGATTCCTGTGAACCCATTTTCCTTTGCACTTCCACAGCCACAGCCTAGCAACACTGACCGCGAGAGCGAGGAACAGCAGCAATTCCACAATATTTTCAAGCAGATAGCAGGTGACGTAAGTACCTCCAACCCTAGGGTCCCACAGCAGCTCACTTCTGTCCTGCGCAGCACAAAATCCCCAGGTCCTGGGGCTTCAGACTGACATGTCTGCTGGGTGGCTGTGACCGTCCGCAGCAGATGGACAGCTGAGGCTGCAGTACCTGGGTCTCTGCTTGCCTCAGAAAAGCCCCAGCTCCCCTCCCAGAACAGCACTGACAGGATGTTACAAACAAGGGCAGCTGGGCTTGCCTTTGCAAAGCCTCTAGCTGCTCTCCTGTGAACACGACTCTCCCCTCTTCCTCCTGAGGACATGGAGATCTGTGCAGATGAGCTCAAGAACGTCCTCAACACGGTTGTGAACAAACGTGAGCAAATCAAATCACGGGGGTTTGGGAGGATGGGCAAGCCCCCCCCCAAGCTCCTTACTCTTCTCCATCCCTCAGACAAGGACCTGAAGACACAAGGATTCACGCTGGAGTCCTGCCGCAGCATGATTGCCCTCATGGATGTATCCTTCCTGCATCCGCTCCCGACTACCTAGCCTCTCCCCACCGGGCCCTGGGACACAGCAGGGCTCAAATCCGTGTCCAAGGAAACAGATCCTGACTCAGAACACCAGATGCCAGTCTGAAGGGGCAGAAGGGAAGACCATGAATTGTACCTGGCCCCCGTTTCCAGCTCTTATCTCAGACCTGAGGTTCAGCTTGGAACTCTTCCAAGCCAGAGTAGTCCTCAGGCAGATTCCATGGGTTACTGAGCTGGTAGGGGTGTAAGGGATGGTTAAGGATGAGGACAGGACAGTGGGAAGGGAGCCTGGGCAGAGGCTTCCTGTGGGCCCCCTCCCTGTCCAGGGGACCTCGCTATGTGCCTATAGACCTGACCTTCCTCAGACAGATGGCTCGGGGAGGCTGAACCTTCAAGAGTTCCACCATCTTTGGAAGAAGATCAAGGCCTGGCAGGTGGGATGAGAGAGTGGTGAGAGGCCAAAGGTGGGGATGGACTTGGATTCAGTACGTGATCTGTCTCCTCAAATTCTCTACTGCCAGAAAATCTTCAAACACTACGACACAGACCAATCCGGCACCATCAACAGCCACGAGATGCGCAATGCAGTGAATGATGCAGGTGCGGGGGGCACTAGGGCCTTCTAGGTAAAGGAGGGGACTGTTTGCCTTGAAGCCAAGGTGGCCAAGGGGCAGGGAAAGGAACCCAACTCCCCTTTCTCCTGTCTCGACCCCTCCACAGGCTTCCACCTCAACAGCCAGCTCTACAACATCATTACCATGCGGTACGCAGACAGACACATGAACATCGACTTCGACAGCTTCATCTGCTGCTTCGTCAGGCTGGAGGGCATGTTCCGTGAGTGGCCAGCCCCTCCCCAGGGGCCTCCACCTGCCCACCCGCGGGAGGATTACGGATGCCCCAGAGGAAAAGTGCCAGCAGCAGGGGCAGGGAGAACCTGAAAGCGGCCTCTGGCCTGTGCATTCTTTCCCACAGGAGCTTTTAATGCATTTGACAATGATGGAGATGGTATTATCAAACTCAACGTTCTAGAGGTAAGACATGTCACCTTCCCAGCACCAGGCAATTCAAGGTGGAGGAGCCCAGGCGGCCGACATGACCCACTGTGTGCTTCTCCCTTCCAAACGCTGCGGGAGGCATGGCCCAGGAAGGGAAGGGATAGGGTGGGAAGCCTGGAAGGGAACGTGGCTCACAGATGGGACAGGGGAGGGCTCCACAGGGGTGTCAGCCCCCAAAACTATGTTGGGAAACATGTACCTTCCTGGGAAGGACACAGGGGAAAGTCTGCAACAAACCACTGGTCCTTTGAAATTATCCACTCCCATAAGGTCCCTAACAACTAGGGTTCTCTGGTCTCCACTCTGACCTCAGCACTTCCTCTTTCAGTGGCTGCAGCTCACCATGTATGCCTGAACCTGGCTCATCCAAGGTCACGCAGGACCTCAGGAGTCAGTCTCACCCAGGACAGCTAGAGCCACTGACCTTGAAGGGCCCTGTCGCTGCAACCTCACAAAGCCTCCAGGAACCTCCTTGGTCTTGTTTTTCCTCCACTTTGCACCACTGTCTTCATCCATCATGGCCAGCCTGACCCTTGGGAGGCCAACTGTGTCCTGTTGCCACATGAAGGCAAATGGCTGGCTCAGGGGAGTGTGGCCTCTGACCGAGCAGACTGGGTCCACAGTGGGCTGTCTGCAGAAGTGCGTGCCATGGCTGGGCACTGACTCAGGTGGGAGCTGTACTCACCTTCTGCCTCCCCACTGTGGGGGTCACCACATTTCCCCCGGACCTGCCTATTTAGGGTGGCCGGCTCTGGGGATACTTTGGATTTCTGACTCTGAAGTTTGGCTGCATTCTGAAAAAGTTGATCTAAATAAATAAGGCATGTGTACAGCTGGTTCCACTGTTTTCTTTTTTCTCATAATTAGACAACAGACACAGCCAATGGCCATAGCCTTCCAGTAAACAGTCATCTATCACCTGCAGAAAAGTCCTAAATCCCAAATAAAACACAAGTTTACAGACAAAAACAAGCCCAAGCCCCTCTTAAAACATGCCCAGCATTATTTCCTGGGCACAGCAATCACTCCGAGATTCTTTCTAAGATACAGGAGGAAGAAGGGGAACAGTTGCTGGGGCAGCGAATAAATACACAGGCTGCTGTGACTGGAGGGCACAGGAGGCAACGCAGCGATGCCGCATGACTCTGGGCCCCTCTGCCGATTGACTGTCCAGCTCGTCTGGACCTCAGTCTGCAGCCCATCTATAAGCATCGTGTGTTTTCCTCGTATTCTCCATGCCAACATGGAAGAGAGAGCACTGACCGAAAATGCAGACAAGATCACACAAGTAAACAGTCAATTAGTAAAAGTACTTTATTTCCTCTTGTATTTGCTTTATATCTTGCTTTACAAAGTTATGAAGTTCACAACTTTATACCAAAATGTAAGAAGGCTAGGCTATTGGATTATAAGCATTTTTTCCAGTGTCATCTAATCTCATTCTTCTCCTAAACTGTACTTAATGTTTAAAAAAAAATCAGAAACCCAGGGTGCTGGGGCATCTCTAGGGTGTGAATTTCTCCTTGACAGAAGAAAGGTCTTCACCCTTTAGGCACCAACTTATTTGGGGTTATTTAGGCTATTGCCTGAATTCAAAGCAATCCGGGAAATGCTAGTCACCATGTGACCGGGCAGGGACGCGTGTCTGAGGCTGGAGCTGAGGGCACAGGTCACTGCTGATGAGCAGGGGTTTGGCTTGCAGAGGCCTGCAATCCACTCGCAGGTGCAACTCCTTCACTGCAGCTTCTTTCTGGTCTGCTACTCCTAATTCCCAAAGGTCCTAGAGGCTCCGTGCAGGACAAAACCATCTTGCAAATGTGGCAGGTATGATTTCCGTCATAACCCTAGCTCTCTCAATGACCAGAACAAAAATTACACATCAGTGTATGGAAGCTGAACTTAGTAGAGCAGACCAGAGAATATGTGCTATTCAAGTTCCACATAGTGCATTTCTCCCTTTGGCGCCAATTTATTTGGGGTTATTTAGGCTATCGCCTGAATTCAAAGCAATCCGGGAAATGCTAGTCACCGTGTGACCGGGCAGGGATGCGTGTTTGAGGCCGGAGCTGAGGGCAGAGGTCACTGCTGACGAGCAGGGGTTTGGCTTGCAGAGGCCTGCAGTCCACTCACAGGTGCAACTCCTTCACTGCAGCTTCTTTCCAGTCTGCTACTCCTAAGCCCCAAGGGTCCTAGAGGCTCCGTGCAGGACGAAACCACCATCTTGCGAATGTGGCAGGCATGACTTCCATCATAACCCTAGCTCTCTCAATGACCAGAACAGAAATTACACGTCAGTGTATGGAAGCTGAACTTAGTAGAGCAGACCAGAGAATATGTGCTATTCAAGTTCCACATCACAATACACTTCGACCTCCTCTCCAATGAATTCCACTCCCTAAAATATACCAGCCATTCTAAGTGTGCACCTACTCCCACCAAATCAGCCATCTACCTCGTCACTACAGCTGTCCACTGTATAATCTACTGAAAAAAACTGATAAAACAAAGCCTTTGTTGGGCAAATACTTATGCCAGTAAATTATATGTAAGCCATGAGCTAAACATTCAACCACTAACTTCTGAGGGAGAAAACTTTTCCCCACAAAAGAGTAGTAAGAAATTCCTCTCAAACTCAAATAATAGCAGGTCAAGATAATTCTTTACTCTTCTTTGTACTGTATTTCTCAAATGACTGAGTAAAAGAATACACCAAAATATATTTTGAACCTAATTTAAAATGTTTTCATAAAACTTGAAGTAACTGCTATTTTGCCAGAACAAAAGACTGTTACAACACAAGCTCACACGCGTGCGCGCGTACACACACACACACACACACACACACACACAAAGAGGATTTATTCTTGGTTTTGAGATATTAGAACAGGCACAAACCAAAAAATTCTAAAAAATGGCCTCCACTGTGCCAGTTTTGTCAGTCACTGAACAGTTTCCTTCCTTCATGAAGATGCTACACAGCAGTCAGCAGTGATGCCTGAGCCCTAGATCTTCCATGAAACAGAGGCCATGATGGCAGTGACATCACGAGGGACTAAATGGCAGCCAGAGTTGCACCACTGAAGGTAGCAGTATCACCATAAGCATCTGAGGTACTTATGGTTCCTTTATTTCTCAACAAAGGGCTAAAATGGTTCATTCTGAATAACTGGTATTAAGAATTCCACACATCCTTGGAAGGAATGTACCACTGCCACAGCTTCAAAGATAACTTCGTGAGATGAAGAAAGATATCCAGTATAGGTGCCCACAAGTACAGACACACAGACAGACCTCACACACACACACGACCACCAAGTGGAACCCAACACGGTTCAGTTCTTACTGACTCCATCAGCTTATAGCACTCGCAGACGTTCCCTCGACTACCTGACACCTCACATTCCTCTTTCCTGCTGGACAAAGGCGCAACGCTCTCCCTGGCTCAGGCTCTCTGAACACGCTGCCCTGCTTGTGTGGAAATGAAGTGTCACTGCCGCGCAGAGAAAAATGCCAGGGTTAGCAATGGCTCCAAAAGGACTTTCCTGGGAAATCGCTATTCCCAATCGCACACAACAGTGTGGATTCTCTGATAACCCTTATAGGATACGTGGATGAGAGGTGGGAAAAGATGGTTAATCTCAAACAGAAACTGATTATACTTTATCTACAGAAGCTCTGTTCTTGCTTCAGCATCCCACAAATCCAAACAGTGTGGTTAAGAGGTGTCCCACTCACAAGGACAGAATTAACAGTTGTGAGGCCAGCCAGCCATTATCTAGTAGTATTTCCTAAATTACTTCTGGCTCCAGTAAGAACCACTGGAGCCTTTTCTGGAAAAGAGAATACACATCATCTTGTGTATACTTCAGGGCTCACAGAGTTCCTGCAGCCTGTCTAGGAACCCGAGGGGAAGTCATTGCCCTAGAGCCTGAAGGAAGGCATGCAGATGTGTGTGCACAGGCAGGGTGGAATAACCCAGATACTCTGCAGCCAGAGAAAACAACAGGTGCCACATCCTGCAGCTCAGAATGTGGCGTGGGCCCTTCTCCTTTATCTGAAGAAATCTAAGTTCTGAGACTCCAGACACAAAAAGGTTAGAAAGTGACACCTGTATAGCTTTACTAATAAGAGTCCAGAGAATTCCAAAACAAAGCAGTCCTCTCAGGTTTTGTCGGCTTGGGTATTTACAATGGACAGGCAGAGCCTTTCCCTCCACCGTACTGCACTCTTCCAGCTACTGGGGAGGCAAAGGCAAAGACACTGACTTCAGAAGTGAGTCTCCAGGAAGCCTACTGGAGGCCCTACAAACTGTACCCAGATGCTTTATTCTAATCCTCCCATCCTGGGGACTGGGACGGCTGGAGAGCACCTTGTTGGGTCAGCAGGAACGCTTGATGTCTGCCTTGGTCCAAGCACAGCCAGACAGGGAGAGACAGGGGCGGACAGTGGAGCAAACCGAAAGGTTCAGACCCACACAAAGCTTCCCAGAACCCAGAGAAGGACATAAAGGTGCACCTCAGTTCAAACAGCCCGACGACAGACAACGCTGTAGCACAATGCCCAGGTCTAGCAGCAAAACTGAGAGGCAGGTGATGGGCTGTGCACCGCCTCACACTGAGCAGAGGCATTCACCAGGCCATGCTGCCAGTCAGGAATCACCACTGTGGGACTGCTTTTCTGAATTCCTAAAATATATAGCGGGCGGAGCCACCGCTCTAGCTGCTTACCAAAAATCTGTGTGTCCTTTTGCATTTAAAGCCTGTTCTGTCCTTCAACAAAGCAGGTGAACAGTGAAACACACTGTACATAATTGTTAAGAAAGGAAACTGTTTGCTTCCAATTTAGATACCCAGTTATTCTAACTAGAAAAATTAAAATTCATTTTGCAAATTTAGCATCTGGACAAACTTGTGGTTAAAAACCTGACTCTAGGTTCAAGCCATCATTACAAACATAAACTAAATAAAAATCTGAAATCCATTAAATACACAAATGTCTAGTGTCAACCTGGGCAACCAATTAAGATCTGGATCTTTAGTGAACATCTGGAGAATGCTGGGAACATAAATCTCCCTATGTCTGGGGTGTGGCTCCTTGGAAGCTGTCTGGAATTGGCTGTCGAAACACTCCCACAAGATCTTGTGGTGCACCTCACCATCCCATAGAGCTGCCCAGATATGCTAGTGGTCAGCCTGGCTGGCAACCACTTTCTCCTCCCTGCTTCCCAGACAGAGGGAAGATGGTGGCCTGTGTTAGGGGCTGATATGAAAATAGTTCAACTAATGACTTCCCAACATGGGAGGCAAAAAATTTCATGAATCAATTTTGCTCTCGTCTTCAGCATGTCGTTCAATATGTCCTGCAGCATCCTAGGAAAAAGGAAGAAGGGCCTTAAGACAAGCTGGCAGTAAGACAGGAGGAAAGCCAAGCCTCAAAGAGCCAGAACTCCACTCGTTTACATGGAACTAGGCTCCTTAAAATGAGTTCTTAGCACAGAGCTGAGATCAGTTACTCTCCCCAGGCTCTTCTTCACTCAAAAATCCCCCAAGTCTCTGAATAAGAAAAGAAAAAAATCTCTGGACCCTATTTATTGTAATTCTGAGTTCTCTAATAAAGCAAAACAGGGCTTTCGGCCTCTTCCCCGAGGAGGCCGCCAAAGCCCAGATTGACCGCGAGCTCCCTCGCTAATGTACCTGCTTGGATCCTTTCTTAGCTGTGAAAAAAGCATCACAGTTCTTCCAGCGACACTTCAGAGTCTGAAAGTTTGGATTAGTGTGGTCAGTCAACAAGTGTTGTTTTAAGTGATCTACAACACCAAATATCAGAGAGCAACCATGCCACTGTGAAAAAAGAGAAGCGGACTAGATGAAGGAGTGCATTAAAACACAAAACACAAAAAAAGAGCAAAGTAAACAGGCGATCAGAGTATCCCTTGTTCTTTTCCCATACTGTGAAAGCTCCTTATTCTTTTGTTCATTCTTGGCTACAATACACACCAAACCAGAGGAAAGCAAATTAATTATCACCCTATAGCAAGGACCCTGCAAAGACTAAAGTCACCTGGCACAATGGGCTCTTGGAAAAGGCAAAGCTCTAAGGTAGATAAGGAAACTTGCTAGATAAGGAAAAGGCTAACAGATATTTATAGGTGAATTACCATAAATTCAGTTTAAACTACTTTTGTTATCTTGCCATGATAAAATTTGAATTTCTACCTTAGTCCATTTATTGTAAAAGGCAAAACAGCTTTTCTATAATAAATACTAAAAGGTCACCTTTAACAATTCTGAAAACTATTTATTTATAAACTTGAAAACAAAAACATCTGGTAAAGAAAACTACATTTGTGGAAATGTTTGTTGTAGAAACTGTATTTGCCTTGGAAGCCTGACTTGTCTCACAATCTTGATCACTTGAATCTTATTATTACTCTTCTAAATTGAAATTGAAATTTTACCTATGAAAATGACTCAGTTTCACATATTTATAAGAAAGCATAGGCAGTCTGTCCTGGCTTTTTCCTTAGAGGCTCATTTGTAACAAATCTTGTAATTTTAACACGTTTATTTCTTTTTTGTTGTTTTGCTTTTTGGTTTTATTTCTAAAAATATTGCAAATTTGAGTTTTCCTCTGTCAGAGCATTACATCCGCTACATTTGAAATAAAAAAGTATTTTCTCCAGTGCTCTAGGTCTCATTGTGCTACATTTTCTTTGCCTTCCTCAATACTAAAAAGCAAAGACAATATAAAAAAGCTGAAAAGAGCCAGGGATTTAGCTCAGTGGTTCAGTGACCTGCCTTGCAAGTGTAAGGACCCAAGTTCAATCCCGGGTACCGAAAAAAAAAAGCTGAAAAGTAATTAGGCTGTGGAGAAGCCTAAAATCAAATTTAAAAACTGAGTGCCATGTTCATTCCATCAATGCTGAAAAGGAGTAGAACTGGGGAAAAGAATTTCAGAACCATAAATTTTCTTTGGTCACTCCTATGTGCAAACTGATTTTTTTTTTGTCTTGTAAGGAATAGTGAAGTTGTAAGGCCTAATCATCAGCCTCTGCCCCAAGATAGAAAACACATCCGAGTCCAATGAACTTTTTTTTTTGTTTTTTTGCAGTACTTTGGATTGAACACGGGGCTTTTACCCTGAATTACAACCTAGCCTTCTATTCGTTTTTTGTGTTGATAGAGAGTCTCATTTGCTAAATTGTCCAGGCTGGGTTTGAACTTGTTATCTTTCTGTCTTGGCCCCCAAGTGGTAGGATCACAGGTATGCACCATCACACTTTTATTTGCTTATTTTCCAGAAACTAATGAAGATACACGCAATCCATGAAATACTTGCATATTCATGGTCAGTCAACAAGTGTTGTTTTAAGTGATCTACAACACCAAATATCAGAGAGCAACCATGCCACTGTGAAAAAAGAGAAGCGGACTAGATGAAGGAGTGCATTAAAACACAAAACACAAAAAAAGAGCAAAGTAAACAGGCGATCAGAGTATCCCTTGTTCTTTTCCCATACTGTGAAAGCTCCTTATTCTTTTGTTCATTCTTGGCTACAATACACACCAAACCAGAGGAAAGCAAATTAATTATCACCCTATAGCAAGGACCCTGCAAAGACTAAAGTCACCTGGCACAATGGGCTCTTGGAAAAGGCAAAGCTCTAAGGTAGATAAGGAAACTTGCTAGATAAGGAAAAGGCTAACAGATATTTATAGGTGAATTACCATAAATTCAGTTTAAACTACTTTTGTTATCTTGCCATGATAAAATTTGAATTTCTACCTTAGTCCATTTATTGTAAAAGGCAAAACAGCTTTTCTATAATAAATACTAAAAGGTCACCTTTAACAATTCTGAAAACTATTTATTTATAAACTTGAAAACAAAAATATCTGGTAAAGAAAACTACATTTGTGGAAATGTTTGTTGTAGAAACTGTATTTGCCTTGGAAGCCTGACTTGTCTCACAATCTTGATCACTTGAATCTTATTATTACTCTTCTAAATTGAAATTGAAATTTTACCTATGAAAATGACTCAGTTTCACATATTTATAAGAAAGCATAGGCAGTCTGTCCTGGCTTTTTCCTTAGAGGCTCATTTGTAACAAATCTTGTAATTTTAACACGTTTATTTCTTTTTTGTTGTTTTGCTTTTTGGTTTTATTTCTAAAAATATTGCAAATTTGAGTTTTCCTCTGTCAGAGCATTACATCCGCTACATTTGAAATAAAAAAGTATTTTCTCCAGTGCTCTAGGTCTCATTGTGCTACATTTTCTTTGCCTTCCTCAATACTAAAAAGCAAAGACAATATAAAAAAGCTGAAAAGAGCCAGGGATTTAGCTCAGTGGTTCAGTGACCTGCCTTGCAAGTGTAAGGACCCAAGTTCAATCCCGGGTACCGAAAAAAAAAAGCTGAAAAGTAATTAGGCTGTGGAGAAGCCTAAAATCAAATTTAAAAACTGAGTGCCATGTTCATTCCATCAATGCTGAAAAGGAGTAGAACTGGGGAAAAGAATTTCAGAACCATAAATTTTCTTTGGTCACTCCTATGTGCAAACTGATTTTTTTTTTGTCTTGTAAGGAATAGTGAAGTTGTAAGGCCTAATCATCAGCCTCTGCCCCAAGATAGAAAACACATCCGAGTCCAATGAACTTTTTTTTTTGTTTTTTTGCAGTACTTTGGATTGAACACGGGGCTTTTACCCTGAATTACAACCTAGCCTTCTATTCGTTTTTTGTGTTGATAGAGAGTCTCATTTGCTAAATTGTCCAGGCTGGGTTTGAACTTGTTATCTTTCTGTCTTGGCCCCCAAGTGGTAGGATCACAGGTATGCACCATCACACTTGATAGAGTTAGAGACTATAAACTTTTATTTGCTTATTTTCCAGAAACTAATGAAGATACACGCAATCCATGAAATACTTGCATATTCCATGAAATCAGTTGGCATATAGGAGTGAGGGTGTAGATGGAAAGACAGGTTATAAAAATAAGCACCTCTGGGCAGGGGATTTTACTCAGTGGTGTGGCTGCCTGCCTCTCTAGTGCAAGGTCCCAAGTTCAATCCCTGGTACCAAAAAAAAGAAAAGAAAAGAAAAAGAAAAAGCACCTCTGCTTTTCATTTCACTTATTTTCCAATGTATTTTTATAACAAAACAGAACAAAATAAAAACCACCTAGGAGATAACCTGAGAAAACATATTTAAGTAGCCTCATGTCTAATCTTATGATAGATACTTCATTAAAGTATAAAAGCATCTTTGTCCTACAGTGAAAGACATACAGTTAGGAGCTCAAGTACAAAAATACTAAGCTGACAATGATGGAGATCTACACATTAGCCTAAGCATTTCCTGAATCTGGGGGAAGAACAGCTTTACTGCTTACCCAACAGCGGTAATTCTGCATCAGATTTAGCTTCACAGCCTGAATACTGCCATCGTAACAGCCAGTGTAAATCTGGAAAGAGAAGTTGGAATATCAGACCAAAATACATACAAAGAAACAACTGCACAACACCTTCAAGATAGGAGTTAAAGAGAATCCTAACATAAAGCAAAGTCAGCTGCACGGTATTAGAATGGGGAAGTAACTTCTATACCCTGGGGTCTGGACACTTCAAAGCTGTGCCCTCTTGGGACATTGTCTGCAGGCAAGAACGGCAGACCTGGGGCACCACCCAGTCCTTAACCAGGGATCTCCGGCTTCTAACTGGTGTCGAGCATCAGGTATCTGAATTTCACTGCAAGAAAGGCTTTGACTACACTGAGTTTGAACAACATCCACCCTGGTTCCACCTCATAACTTAAAAATAAAATTAAGTAGGCATAGCAAGGCCTACTTTTAGGTCTGCTATAACTGTCAGGCTGGTCTAATCTCCGGACTCCACTCCAACCTTCTATTCAGAGCCTGAGGACTCTGGAAAAAGTAACACAATTTTTTTGAAGCACCTTAAATGTATCTTCTATTTAACGATAGCATCGTATATTTTTAATGTAATTATTTTCACTAATAGAAATGAAATATTCAACAATGTCATTGGGTTACTTCTCACTATTACGCTGAGTAAAAAGGGGTTCAATACTGAGTATGTAACAGAAATAAACGTTATTCTGAGAGGTGACAAGTAGTAAAGTCAGTGTCCAGATTTTCAAGTTAACATATTCAGAGGCAAACATCCCGCATGGCAAACAATGCTCACCATGCTTTTGTGGATGGTCATACACATAATCATGTCTTTGTGTCCTCCATAAACTTGCAGTCGATCATGAGACTTAGGCAAAAGAAAAAAAAAAACAAACAGAACAATAAAGATGACTTAAACCTTGTGCTTAAAAATCATAGCCCCTTTGGGCCTCTAGGAGGCTTAAAACTGCACCTGAGACACTGAAGTGAAATACTAGCAATATTCTAACAGAAATATGCCCTAATGACAGTCCCACCCCTTAACCCTGAGCTAGGGATTGAACCCAAAGACTGGTACATGCTAGGCAAATGTGCTACGACAAGTGACTACCCCAGTCCTTTTTTATTGTCCCGCTAAATTGCCCAAGGATGGCCTTAAATCTGTCTTCCTCAGCCTCCTCCTCAGCTGAGATTACAGATGAGTGCTATACCAGGCATCAATCTTCTTGAGTCCCCCATTCCTCAAGCAGGGTATTGGTAATCAGAAACAGTGAAAAAAAAATTTTTTTTAAAGACAGGGTCTTACTATGTAGTTGAGACTGACCTGGAACTCACTATGTAGCCCAGGCTGGTCTCAAACTCACAGCGATCCTCCTGCCTCAGCTTCCCGAGTGCTGGGATTACAGGCATGCACCACCATGTCCAGCTGAAACTGGTTTCTACAGAATCAGTTTCAAACTTGAAAATGCAGACAAGGAGAACTGGACAGTTGTTAAGAGGGCAGGGTTACTCCCCAGAACCATTCAGAGGAGTCTGACACCCACGAGTTTGACACCATGTACTGCAGCAGCGTCCCTAAGGGGTGGCTCCTGGGCCAGCCATTCTTTAACTATCCAGTGTGCTTGTGAAAATGCATCCTTGTACTCCAACCCAGCCCTACCACACCAAAACTGAACACCAAACCCAGACATACTATCTTCCCAAATTAATCAGGTGAAACACTGGATCTAAATTCTACCTGTAATTCATAGACACGAACAAATTTATCCAGGCAAGCAGTCACCATCACTTTTCCTAGGATGTTCACCACGGTCACTGCGTGGTTGTGACCTTTATAGATCCGCACAAGCTCACCAGTCTACAACGGAAACGAGGTAAGGGTCACTAGACTTTATATAAGATTCCTTCCTATTCTTCTTTCTACTTTTCAGGTTTCTATAATTCTGTAATTCTAAGAGACACAATTCTGAGGCTACCTGTAAAAACTGCTAGAGTCCCCCCACAAGCACCTGTTACTTATACAATGTATAGGAAAATGCATCCTCACAGAGGCCAAATGTTACAAAATGGAAGGTCTATCTGTATGCTCTATCACAGCTCTATCTGTATGCATCTCATAGCTTCTGAAGTACAGCTTAAGTAACCCTCATCCAAAAATATGAAACTCAAAATGCTCTAAATTTAAAACTTGTACTACAAATGGAAAATTCCATACCTGACATCAGGTGATAGAGCAGTCAAAAGACAGGCACGCTAAAAATATAAAATTACTTTTGGGCTATGTGTACATGAAACATAAACCAAATCTTGTGTTTAGACTTGCATCCCACCAAGCTATCTCATATATATATATTAAATATCCCAATATCTGTAAGTCTGAAATCTGAAATACTTCTGGTTCCCAAGCATTCAGATGAGGGATGGAAAACCTGTATCTCTGCTTTTATTTTATGGACCCTGATGTGAACAAGTCCCTTAGGTGGGATTATGCCCTGGATCAGAGACCAGGAACTGAGCTACAGAGAGCTGCCTTTAGTATCTAATTATAGAATCTCAGCTGTTTTCACTTGTTCTATTTTAAACTTCATAACACGTCCACTTTCTGAGAGCCTCAGCTGCTCAATTTATCTCAATTTAACTGAGGCATTCAAAGAAAACCTTATATGAGCTTTGAATCTGTTCCCCAATTAAAATAAAAATTTGAGGGGGGGTTGGTTTTTTGTTGTTTTTTGAGACAGGGACAGGGCCTCACTATGTAGCCCAGGCTGGCCTTGAACTTGCAATGATCCTCCTGCCTCAACCTCCCGAGTGCTGGGGTTACAAGTGTGCACCACCACACCCAACCCCATTAAAATTTTTGATGAAAAAGAAAAATTAGAAAAGATTAAAAAAAATTGTATTTAATGAAGCTGGAATCTTCAGTTTGTTCAATCTGCCAGCATATGCACAGGGATGTGTTAATCCTTTCACAGGATAAAGGGCTTACTTCAAACGACAAGAGGTCTGAGGGAGCTTTCATATATGAACCAGAGATTCTCTTGCCACTACAACAGCACAGCTTACATGAATGTTGTGAGCATGGACGGACTGGTCACTGGAGCCGCTGAACACAAGGTCATTCACCACCTTCAATGGAACAACTCAGTCAGTTGAATTCTACACAAGGGGTCAGTTAGATCTATAACTTGTAACACAGATAGTGGACTCTAACTTTCATCCTATTTCAAGATGAGCATGAAGAACTAGGTAAAAAAATGTTTCCCTTGGGCCAGGGATTTAGTTCAGTAGTTCCGGCACCTGCCTTACAAGCGCAAGGACCCAAGTTCGATCCCTGGTTAAAAAAAAAAATGTTTCCCAAGGGCTGGAGATTTAGCTCAGTGGCACTGGGCTTGCCTTGAAAACACAAGGTCCTGAGGTTAATGCTCAGTACCATAAAGCAAAAAAAAAAAAAGAAAAAAGAAAAAAACATGTTTCCCAGATCAACCCTCTCACTGATACTTCCAGCCTACCACTAGGGTAGGCTGACGGGCTGGTGATGTTACCCCCCAGAATGATTAGAGTTGCATCCACAGTCTACCACAGAACATACTCGTAATTGTTTCTCAGCTAGTATATTAAAGAGCGGCATGCTACCTGGTGACCCAGATGTTAATAAAAGGATTGAGGGCTATTTGCTCCTTTCAAGATGGCTGTGATCTAAGTAATGGGAAATGCCGTTCAACACCTTCCACCACACCAGACCCGTTGTCCCTACACTATACTCGCCTTCATACAGAGAATGGTCTTGGTATGGCTCTCCAGAGTTCTGAGGAGCAGTCCGTTCCGGGCATCCCGCACACTAATGGTGCAGTCGTAAGATCCCACAACCAGCAGCTTTCGGGAACCCTCTTGGGCTGTGGCAAGACAGCTGACGGCCCTTGGCCCATGGCATTCAAAGATCTCGAGTTGTTTGTTGCTCTGAAAAATAAGCCATCATTATATCAAGCAAAAGCAACAGAGCTAGAAAAGCACAAAACCAACGAACCAAAATTATTATGAAAAATTACTATGGCTGAGGAGCTCCATCACTGGCACTCAAATTCTTGTACCCATTCCACACTCTTCGCTGATTAACCCCTGCTGCTTCTGCTCCAATGCTCCTGCTGTGCTCATGACCTCCTTTCTCCCTGACCTAAAAAGGGCAAACTCTTAAACAATAATTGTGTGTCTGTGTGTGGACTGAACCCAGGGAGCACTAACCCATATACCCAATCCTTTTATTTTTCTATTTTGGGGTTGTGTCTCACTAATTTGCCCAAGTGGGACTCAAATTCATAACCCTGCTTCAGCCTCCGACGTAGCTGGTATTTAAGTATGCACCACCATGCCTGGCTCATAATAAATTATTTTGTACTTCAACCTACATACCACCATCCTGATCCTAATAAACATTTTTCTTTTTATGCCCTTTTCTACTTCCCTTAAGCAATAACGAAAGATAAAACCCAGCCCCAGTCTTCAAAATTCACACTTATACAGAGATGCTCATAACTGTCTATTAACCAGGCATGGTAGTGCATGCCTGTAATTCCAGCACTTAGGAGGCTGAGGCAGGAGGATAGCCACAACTCTGAGGCCAGCTTGGGCGACGTGGTGAGTTAAGGCCAGCCTGGACCACAAAGTGAGATGCTGCCTACAACAAACAAACAAACACCCCAAACAACAAACAAAACTGTCATCTTTCCAGAGCTTTTCAACCAGAACTCTTCTATTTAAAATTTGTGTCATCATTTTGCCTCAAATATCTTGCTTTTAACTTCTCTTTACCCTTGATAACAATAATTTAATTTATAAAGGAGAATTAGGTAATTAGCAAGTTTTTATCCATTACAATTCTGTTTTGTTTTGAGACAGGCTCACTACACTGGCCTCCAATCAGTGATCCTTCTGCCTCTGCCTGACAAGTGCTGAGATTACAGGTGTGCGTCACCATGCCCAGCTGTGCTAGATTCTTTAAACTTGACTTTTTCATAAAAGAAAAAATGTGAGGCCGGGATTTAGCTCAGTGGTTCTGCCGCCTGCCTCATAAACACAAGGTCCCGAGGTCGATCCCCAGTACCAAGGACAAACATAACAGCAGAAATGTGATATATTTTATTGCATCTCTAACGCAGTTCTAGCTAAATGTAATATATAAGTGATGACACTGTAACAGAAAACATTCTACAACACTGTTAGAAGATGACCAGAGATGTTGTTGGCTAACTCCACCTCAGATTACATCTTCATCTACTTCCTTCTTTTTGTCCTAGTGCAACCTTTCATATCAGCTTTCATTACAAAGCTTCCTGAATGATCTCCCAGCTTCCACTGACACTAATCTCTCCAAATTTCACATCTCCATAGCAACTTTTCCTAAAATACAAATACATGTAATACATACATTCCCTCTGGTTAACATATCAAGAGGAAGTCCAACTATCTCAGCAAAACATACAAAAGCATCAAGAACCTCCTAACCTTACCCTGGGGCTGAGCACACAAGAGAGTCATCTTTGGTTAAGAAGGTATGGCCACCACGTAGGAGTCAGGGCAAGCTCGACCCACCTGGCAGAACAAGCCACTGCATAAACTCCATCACTTTCAAACCACACTGAAGCCACTTGCAAAGGAATCCAGGTTCTTTTTCATGGTGCCATTCTTAAAATGAAACAGACTGGTTTAACCTGTGACTCATTATTTGACCCCAAATCTTCAGGCTTCACTTAATTTAGTGGAGTTACATTTTGGTTCCGGCCATTTGAGTCTAAGCAGACAGGATGGAGGACCAGAAGATGAAGCTTCTTCTTTTATCTTGGTACTGGGACTTTCGAGGCAGGCGGTGGAGGCTGAACCACTGAGCCAAATCCCCAGCCCTGAAGATGAAGTTTCTACTGTTTCCTCACACAAGGATACAGAAACACCTGACTGTCCCCACCCTTTCTCATTTCCAAATGGCAAGGGAACCCGCCGTCTCTCCCCCAAACACTGACCTTGGTGTTGAAGGTGACCACAGTGCCATTTGCCAGTCCTACATACAGGATTCGCCATCGACTGTGGAGGCAGAGAACCCGGTCTTCCAGCTTTAACTGCTCTATGCACATCTGGGTCTAACAAAAGGACACAACAGCTGGGGATTTACCGCCTGCCTCGGAAGTGCAAGGACCCGAGTTCGATCCCCAGTACCAAATACATATAAATAAATAAATAAAAAAATAAAACAACCAACCACAGGACACAACATCTAGTGAGCAGAGAGTAACGGCAAAGGAATAACTAAAATAATTCTCCCAAGAGCAGAATTTGAGATGACTCTGACAGGGAAGAAAACATGGCATCCTCTGTTTTGTAGAGGATGATACGATCTCAGATCTTTTTCCTCTTTGAAACAGGAGGCCAGAGACCTCGGCTAATAATGAAGAAAATGTAAGTTCTAATAACGATACCTATGTTTCTAATTCAGAATGTAGACATTCTTCAAAGGCACTATCCGAAGTGGACAAAAATAAAGGATAAGGAAGTATTTGAAATCTGAAAAGGAAAATGGGGATTATGGGTATTTATTTGACACATGCATCAATCAAAGGTGGTTTCCTGCAACTGATTCTCTAGTTTATTAATTCCTAAATACCTCCTTCAACCTGGTATCAGGTTAACTGAACCGCAGTTACTGAGGAAGCTCCCCCCCCCCAGTACTGGGGAATGAAACCAGGGCCTTCATGCTGAGTTACATCCCCAGGGTCTTACTATTGCCCAGGCTGGGCTCAAATTTGGGATCCTTGTGCCTCAGCCCCTCAAAGTACTGGGATTATAAGCATACACCACTATGCCTGGCTTCAGGGAGCTTTTAAATACAGAAAATCTCAAGCTCCAATTCAGCAAGCTTAGGAATCTGGACTTCAATTTTTTTGTTCTGTATTGAGACAAGGTCTCGTTGTAATTCAGGTTGGCCTCAAATGTGCGATCCTCCTGTCCTAGTCTCCCAAGTGATGGGATTACAGGGATACCCCACCATACTGGGCATCCATTCATCAGCTGGCCAGTGATTTAGTCGTGGATTCCACTCGGCCACTTATTCCTGCAGTCATTCACTCATGTAGACCAATTCTGTCACTCGTGGTCATGTGCTCATTCACTCCCGTTCACGACTCATCATTATTCACCATCAGTCATGTGGTCAGTCTTACAGAGTCAAACAGCTACTCACTAAGCCACATACTGACCTAATCAGTAATTTATTAGGTCATTCATTAGCATCTGTCACTCGTTCACTCCACGGCCAAGTCTTTGGCAGTCATGGAGTCATCATTAGATCATTATTCATCCACTCATCCTCCTTTGTGAGTTCTGAGGTGTGACATCATCCATTCAGCTCTTCAAGCATTCACTTTGGCCAAGCATTTATTAACTTGTTCAAAGAGTCAGCCAGCCATTTACTAAGTCTAAGTCATTTGGTTAGTCATTGTTTGTTTGTTTGGGTTTTTTTTGTCTTTTTTTTTTTTTTTTTTTGGTTTTTTTGGTTTTTTTGAGACAGGGTCTCACTATGTAGTTGAGAATGACCAGGAACTCACTAGGTAGCCCAGGCTGGTCTCACAGAGATCCCCCTGCCTCAGCCTCCCGAGTGTTGGGATTACAAGCATGCACCACCACACCCAGCTAGTCATTGTTATTGGTTAAGTCATTGTTACTAGGTCATTTGAACATGTAGTTAGCTGGCTGTTTTGGCACTCATTATTCATTCTATCAGTTATTTGGCTGTTCATTAGACCAGTCATTCATTTGTTGGAGTCATCACTGAGTTCTGGTTATTCAGTGAATCAGTCACTATCTGGCAATCATTCATCATCAGTCACTGAGATAGTGGTTGGCTGAATCATTCATTCAATCTTCATTCGGTCATTGTAACGTTCACTCATTCAGCGTTTGGGTGCTTTCCTGAATCAGTCACTGAAGCATTCAGTCCATCAGTCATTTGGTCGTTCATTCAGCACACTGTGCTACATTCGCAGCCCTTTTTGAGACAGCCTCTTAAATGTTAAACTGTCCAGGCTGAGCTTGAATTTGCGATTCTCCTGTCTTAGTCTCCCAGAATGCTGGGATTATAGGCATATACCACCATTCTTGGCTCAATCTATTTTTAAAAATTTCCCTAAGGGGCTGGCAAATAGCTAGCTCAGTGATAAGAGTGCTTGTCTAGCATGCACAAGCTCTGGGTTTAATCCTAGCACTGCAAGTAAACAAAAAGTTAAGGAGCACTGTTTATTATGACCTTTAAGAAATTATTTTCATTAATTTCCCAGAAATAAATAAGATAACAAATTAATCTAAAACCGAGAGTCTGGCCTTTTACACAGTAATGAAGAACTGTTGTTGAGGGCTCGTTCAGTGATATAGAGTGCTTGGCCTAGCACACATGAGGCCTGGGTTCATCCCCAGCCCTGGAAAAAGAAATATTTTTAATGGAACTAAGTGACTAAAGGCCCCGGTAAAGCTTTTAAGCAGGTGTTAAAATCAAGATGGCTAAAAATGAGCAAGAGTTGTATATAGAATGAAGAGACTGTCAGCTGTCAAAATCCTTTAATCTCTTCTCAACCTAAGAGTCAGTTTCTTAAATTATTCAGCTTTCCCTCATAAAATTACAAATATAAAATACAGCCAGACGCTATGAATATGACAAAATTATTAAGATTCACGTTCCCTCTAGTTAACATGCGAAATCCTGTACAGGTGTCCTACACCAAACACTATGTATATTAAAACCTTCATGGATACTGACTGAGCTGGGTGTGGTGGCGCACGCCTGCAATCCCAGCACTCGGGAGGCTGAGCCAAGAGGATCACAAGTTCGAGTACAGACTGGACAACTTAAGGAGACCCTCTGTCTCGAAAAAGAAAAGAAAACCCTTGGTTCAATGTCAATATAATAAACAACTGAAAAATCTAGTTTTTTTCTAATTTTATCAGTCAAAATGGTATTGCATTTTTGTTATAATTTGTACTGGCATGATTGTATTGAGTTATTTGTATTTCATTGAAGAAGCTGTTTCTGTCTTTGCTTACTTACCTACTGTGATTTAAACTTTTTACAACATGCATTAGAGCTATTTTCCTTTTTCTATATAAGATTGCTTCTTGCCAAAATATGCTTACCTTTTTTTTAACCACCTTAATGAAGTATGAGGTGTGATCAAAATATACAGTGAATGTGTAAATTTTAAAAACTCATTACAGTAAGACATTGTATTAATTTCTGCTCAACCCCACCCACCCACTTTGAACACACTTATCCCACGAGTCTTGCCATTTTAAAAGCTATCTCATGTTTTACAAAATGTGATAAAAAATATGGAGGATTTGGGCTGGGGATTTAACTCAATGGCACTATGCCTGCCTCACAAGTGCAAGACCCTGAGTCGGATTCCCGGTACCTAAAAAAATAAATAAATATGGTAGATGCTGATGACATTCAATGGGAAGGCAGCCTCATAAAAACATCTTGGTGTGTCTGCCCTTATCTATCTTATGCACTGAATCTGGCACCGATTTGGCTCTGTGTGACTTCTGGCTCTTCCCCTGAGTCAGAGTGAAAGGTCATGAATTGATTCAGGACATCAAGGCAGCCACAACAGAGCAGCTAAAGACACACAAAAGGACCTCCAGACTTGCTTCAGAAAGCAGAAGACTGACGTATGGGTAAGTGTGGTCAAAGGGCGAGGAGGCCACTGCGTTCTCTCTTGCACACGGCCCACCCTCACACTGTGGGGTGTAACTTCTTTTCCTATTTTTGCACTTGACCCAAACTCACTGTCTGTTTCTTTTTGCACCTTTAGTAAAATTTTGCTACTGGTAAAAAAAGAAAAAAAAAGAAGGGGAATGTTTTGGAGGAAGATTAACAGTAATGTGTCTTTCACTGTAATACATTTTTAAAAACCACATTCACTATATTTTACAATGAACTTGCAGTTTCCGTATGACAAAAATCTGTCCATATTAAATACACATGTTGGGACTGGGGATTTAGCTCAGTGGCGCCATGCCTGCCTCACAAGTGCAAGGTCCTGAGTTCAATCCCCAGTACCAGAAAATAAATGAAGCAATAATAAACATTTCGTTAAGCTCTGGTTAAGTATAAAACCTGTGAAAACATTTCCACAATTAACTTGTAGAACATCTCAACACTCCAAAATATTACTGTACACCATCCATCTTTCAGTGGATCTTTACCATACCCACAAGTGACCACAAAAGTTGTACCTCTTTTAGGATCTCATATAAAGAGAACACACAGTCTATAGTCTTTTACGGCTTCTTTCATCTAGCATGAAGCTTTTGAGATCCATCACACTGCTATGGGCATTAATTTTTACTTTTTTTTTTGCCAGCATTATTCTACTGCTTATATATCATATTTATTTTTACAAAACACATTTTATTTATCCTCTTACCAATTGGATGTATCAACTGTTTTTTCCTTTGTTTCTTTCTCTTTCTCTCTCTTTTTGGTGGTACTGGGGAATCAAACTCAAGGCCTCAAGCACACATATCTAACCTTTTGGCTTGCCTGGGCCGCAATGAGCAAAGAGGAATTGTCTTGGGTTGCATATGAAATACATGATATAGTTAATATCTAAGCTTTTAAAAAAAAACCTTTAAAAAATGTGTTACCACAAATTTTAGTATATGTGCAGCCAAAGCGAGCACATACCACCAAATTTTAGAAACAGAGGTCAAACAGCCTGTGGACTACAAGGTGGACATACCTGGGCCCTTAAGCATGCTTGGCAAATGCTCGACCACTGAGCTATTCTAGCATATATTGCATTTAATTGTTTAATGCAATTTTCTCTCATTTCTTTTAATGTATTTAGGTTTTAAAAACTCTTAGATAGCCACCTCTAACTCTGCAGATTAAAAAATATATAAACATTTTATTCTTTATTCTACTTAGGATTAATTTTGGCACATGAGCATGTGATGTAAAAATTTAAATTAATGGGGAAAGACCATGGAAAGTATACTATTAATAGTAGAAAATAAATACACACTGGTGGAGAGAGACAGAAAATGTGGTTTCTATCTAAGGTAACAGGACTAAGGTTTATCAGTATGCAGAATCAAAACAAGAGAGTCAAGTGGGTAGAATGGAGCATTTATGGCAGTGTCTCCATCTTACACTTCAGCCTACTAGGAACCCACCCACCTTAATATTGTAGCAGCGAATGGTGTGATCACTGGAACCTGTGTAGAGCGCAGCACTCCTCTCAGAGGTCTGAGTGACCAGGAGACAGTTCACTTTGGAAGTATGGCCCTCGAAGACACCAATACATTTCCGACTCTAAAGTCAAGCACAGATCAGATTATTACTTGAAAGATACAGAAGGATTAGTGTATTTCTTCAACTCAACAAAATAATGCAAAATTTTTTAGTTCACTGCTGTGTTTTCAATGCCTAAGGTGTCAAAGAAATAAATAACTGTTCACTGAATGACCAGCAAAAAGTCCCATGTAATGAGGTACCTCTATATGTCAGCTGAGCTTTACTAAAAAATAGTGATTCTCTATAACAGGTCAGATTTTTCAATTGTACTAGGCTTGAACCCAGAGTGTTCACATTGAGCCACTTCCCCCAGTCTTTTTTTTATTTTTTTTATTTTGAGATAGGGTCTCATTAAGTCACTAAGTTGCTCAGGCTAGGCTGAAACTTGCCATCCTCCTGCCTCAGCCTCCCAGAGTGCTAGGATTACATATTTGCCACCACACCTAGCTCAGAATTCTAATGCCTTGGGCAAGGTTTTCTAATATACAGACAGAGGATCCTGCAAACCTAAACTGTAGCTAATTACACAGAAAAGCAGTTACTTGATCCTTAGTTTAAAAGAATGTTCCACAGTATTAAAAACTGTCCAATGCTGCCATGAGCCCTAGCCATCCAGGAGTGGCTGTGTGAGGAAATACCCCAATTGTTACTTCTGTGCACATAACAAGAGCTTAGAATTCACCTGTGCGTGCACACACCCCTTGCAATTTAGAGTTAGACCCAACTCCCTGGATCTTAAACGTAACACTCCCTTCTATCATTGCTTCTTCAGTCACTCCTGATACTTACCACTAGTCTGAAAGACAGCAAACACATCTCCTGGTCCATCACCTAACTTTGTAGTTTTCACTGATTTCAGTAATTTACATACTTTTATAGTGTCTTCCAGAAAAGAGTGATTTTTAAGTTTCTTGGCTATCGTTGTTCACAACTAGCATTTTGATATGTATCAAATTCAAAATTTTAAAGTTCATTTGTGGGCTGGGGATTTAGCTCAGTGGTGCTGCCGCTTGCCCTGCAAGCACAAGGTCCTGAGTTTGATCCCCAGTACCAAAAAAAACAAAAAACAAAAAACAAAAAAGTTCACTGGTTTGAGTAATGTGATCATCAGATAATGGGAAGTGTGAGGTAGTGGAAAAGTGATTGTCTCCTTAAGAACTTGGGTTCTGTAATCTATCAAGTGTGAGGGGAAAAATGTTCCCTCTAATACTTCCCCAGTATTCATTCCTCTGGCATGTGGTTGGGACTTCATTGGCCTAAAACCTATTGGGGTAATTCCATCCCCTCTGCCCAAGGTGACTGCTCAAGGAGAAAATCGAAGGACCTTTTCTGGCAAGAGGGAAAAAGAAATCTCAGAAGCACCTGACAGGAGAACTACCTTTTGGGAAAAGATGTGAACACAGAAAACAGAGCTGAGAGAAAGAAAGAAACTAAACAACTGCTAGTGTGCTGGATCAACTGCATCTAAAATCACCCTAAGGTCCTTAGAAATTCCTTTATCATTTAAAAGAGTATGAGTGAGAGTTTTCTAAAATCTACAACCAAAAACATTGAAAATATTATGCATACTTACCACCAGGTTATACACTCGGACAGTTTTATCTCCCGAACAGGTATATAGTAAGTTTCCAAATATCTGAATTGCATTCACTGCAGCTTGGTGCCCTTCAAAGCTTCCTTCTGTGGGCTCATCATCATCTCCTGGCTCTGAAGATATTTCTAGAAAACAAGAAGTATCAGAGATACATCAGCTGCACCCAAAAAGATACTCAAAACTCAAAACCATCATATCATATAGTGATCCCTGAATTAAACTTAATAAGAAAAACTCTCTGTAAAGCCTAGTTCTACTAGCAGAATATCAGTCTTCATTAAAAAGCTTCACTATGAAGTCTACAATAAAGAGAAGACGTTTCACTTAGGAAAAAGATCTTCTAGAATGAGTTTGAGTGATACCTGGAAGGTACCTAATCTCTGTCCACACTGCCTCACCTACTTTCAAACTGCTATTTCTCTGAGAAAGGTATTAGTCTTTAAGCAAAAACCTCTGGAGTCAGTGAAATGTTAACACTAACCAGATAAACAGGTAAAGGAGCCAGACAGCTGAGACTGGCAGAAAAAACTTGAGGAGGTCGGAACTGAAGATCTAGGGCTGATCCAGACAACATACTTGGAGCAATCCCTCCCCATTCTCCTATTCTGTAAACATACTCAACACTGATTCATGGGCTCTAAATTTACAAACCTCTTTTTTGTGGGTTAATTTAAATAAAACAGACAACAAATACCTGAAGAGTTCTTTGAGCTTTTTAGGGCGCAGATCACAGTCTGAGTTTCTGCCACACTACAAAATAACAGCAAAAGTCTTCTTAGAGTCTGAGAACAGGACAGGTAGCAAAACTAAAAACTTTCTAATTCAAGGGATGTTTCTAAAAAATGGGCAAAGCAGTAATGATAGATCTGAAATTTCTATATATGGAAATAAAAGCAATGAATATTTACAACAAAGACAGAAGAAAAACTAGGAAAATCTCCACTGCCAAGATTTGATTCTTCTAGAACTTGTTTTCAGATAAACTTTGACTCACGACTAAAAGTCCTATTAAAAAAAAAAAAAAAAGGACTAATAAAAGTTGCTCTGATTGGCCCAATACAGCATCTTACCTTACAGGGATGCCATCCTTGCTGGGAGTGACAATCTCACTGGTAGAGCTAACTTCATCACAACCAGAACGAGAAGTTTCTACTGGATTTTGTTCTGCAGAGCCCCAAATATCTTTTTTAGAGGGGCTATCTGGTTTCTCTTCTCCAGATTCAGAAGAATCAATGGCTACAACTTCTAACTGAGGATGAGGAACTTCTAGGACTTCCAAAGATGAATCGCTCTCAGGCTCGTCTCGGACACTCTCCTGTTCCCGGCTAGTTCTGCTGTCTTCCCAGGTGGAAGTGGACACTTTTCCTCCTTTAGGTAACTTGCCTATTTTTACTTTCCTTACAGGTTTAGCAGTAAATACATCCTGCTCAGTGTCACTATTCTCAGGAACAAGGGCAGCCCGTAGTGTTTTTTTCTTACGAAGTTTCTTCTTTTTCTTGTTTCCCCTAGTTTCAGGGGATATCGGAGTAGATTCTGCCTGTAGCCCAGGCTCATCAACAGGAGAGGGAGGTTCCTTCTCCAGAGGAGTTTCTGAAGTGAAAGATAATCTTAGAAAAGAACTGCTACAGGCTTCAGACCCACTGTTGCCTTGGGCTGGTTCTTCCCCTTCTTTATTTATGCTGGGAAGATCAGGTGATCGGGAAGAGGGAGAGTTTTCTCTGCTTCTATTTCCTTGCTCCACAGAAAACTTCAGATCTTGGTTAGGCTCCTGGCAACTTTCTATTGCCATGAGGCCTGAATTAATTAGATGACTGCCACTGATCTCTCCTGAATTGAGAACAACAACAACAACAACAAAAAATTGCATCTTTTTAAAATTCATTCATTCATTCATTCCTTCCTTCCTTCCTTCCTTCCTTCCTTCCTTCCTTCCTCCAGTGATGGGCACTGAATGCAAGGACTTCAATACATCCCTGGTCCTTTTTTTTTTTTGCTCAACTTTTTTTTTTTTTTTTCTTATTTTTTTTTTTTTTTTTTTTTTTTGGTACAGGGAACAAACTCAGAACCTTGTGTTTGCAATGTGTGGTACCACTGAGCTAAATCCCTGGCCCATGTTTTGGTTTTTTTAGAACAGGGTCTCGTTATGTACTTCAGGCTGGCCTGAAACTTGCTCAGATGTTCCTGCCTCAACCTCCAAAGTGCTGGGATTACAGATGTAAACCACAATGCCTGGTCCCCAGCCTTTTTAATGTTTTTTTTCTTTAGAGACAGGAGATCACCAAGTCACTAAATTGGCCAAGCTGGAGCTCAAACTTGTGGTCCTTCTGCCTCAGCCTCCTAGAGTGCTGGGATTATAGTTATATACCACCATGTATAGCTTATTTCACATATCTTTTTTGGCGGGGGGTTGCCGGGGATCAAACTCAGGTCCTTGCGCTTACCAGGCAGGTGGTGGAACCACTGAGCTAAATCCCTGGCTCACATATCTTATTTTATCTTTTTTTGTTTGTTTGCTGTTTATAGTCACAAACTACAAATATCATTGACTGAAACTCTACCAAAGGTTTCAATAATTATGTCCACAAAACCATGACTGCTACACCTGGCTGTTAACTCATTCTTCAGTTTCCCATAACTACACACATTCATTCCTGTTACTGCATTAATCTCAAAACAATAGGCATGCCTTATTCCCTACACAAACTGCTTTGGTGCTGGTGTACGCCTGTAATCCCAGTGTTCTGAGAGGCTGAGGCAGAAGGATTGCAAATTCAAGCCCCAGCCTGAGCTTTCTTAATGAGACCCTGTCTCAGAATAAAATTGTAAAAGGGACTGAGGATGTAGCTCAGTGGCAGAGCACTCCTGTTATTGATCACCAGTACTGCAAAGAAAAAAAAAAGTTTTTGATATCGATGTTAATTAGTATACCACAAAGTACTAGTAGCAAAAACTAATTACTCACATTTTTTTGTTTCCACTCAAGAAATCATATGCCTGTTTGCTTCTGTGACTGAACTTTCATTATAGTGTGTGTGTATACTATGAATTGAACCCAGGGCCTTTATACGAAGCTATATCTCCAGTCCTTTTTTAATTTTTTATTTTGGATGGGGTCTTATTAGTCATTAAATTGCCCAGGTTGGGCTCAAACTTGCAATCCTCTTAACTTAGCCTCCCAGAATGCTGGGATTACAGGCATGCAGTACCACACCCAGCTAATAGACCACCATATCACCATACCATCACAAAAACTTCTAACAGTATTTTTTTTGGAGGTACTGGGGATTAGGGATTGAACTCAGGACCTTGAGCTTGCAAAGCAGGCGTGGTGCCACTGAGCTAAATCCCCAACCCTTTAATAGTATTTTAAATAGTTAAGAAGTTATTAGTTCGAGACAAGCCTGGGCTACATAGTGAGTTCCAGGTCAGTCTCAACTACATAGTGAGACCCTGTCTCAAAAACAAAAACAAAAAAAAAAAGAGAGAGAGAGAGAAATTAAGAAGTCATTCTCAGGCCGGGATTTAGCTCAGTGGTTCAGTGGCTCTCCTTGCAAGCACAAACACCCGAGGTCAATCCCCCAAAACAAAAAAAAAAAAAAAAAAAGGTCATTCTGAAATGCTAATCTGGTGTTATTTTTTTTTTTTCCTTATCTTTTTTTTGGTATCAAGGAGATTAAACTCGGGTCCTTGTGCTTGCTTGGTAGGCAGCAGAACCACTGAGCTAAATCCCCAGCCCCTTATTTTATGAAAAGTTAAAAAAAAACAAAACAAAAAAAAACAAACCCACCCTGACTACATCCCAAAACTACCTAAATTATTGTTAGATGACTTCAAATCCCAGAACCCTGTGCCCTTCTTTATCATGGCCACCTACCTCTCAGGCTTGTATCAGTTCTGCTTGTATTTGGGATTAAAAGAAAAAAAAAAGTTAAATTCTGAGAAATTCAGAGAACATATCTTAGCTAGGAAACTGCCAAATAACTTTAGCCTATCACAAAGAACTTTTTAGTCCACACCCACTTTAATAAGTGGAGCTTTTAAAGTAGTAATGCAAAGTCAACTCAATAACCTTAGAAAACCTTGGATAAAAAAAACAAAACAAAAAAAACCTTGGAGCAAAGTTACTGACATTAGAATTACATTCTCTGAAATATTTTAAAATAATCCACCAAGCCAGGCATGGTGGTGCACACCTGTAATCCCAACACTTGGGAGGCTGAGGTAGGAGAATCACCACAAGTTTGAGGCCAGCTTGAGCTAGTGAATTCAAGGCCAGCCTGAACTGCATAACAAAACCCTGTCTCGGGCCGGGGATTTAGCTCAGTGGTTCCACTGCCTGCCTTGCAAGTGCAAAGACCCGAGTTCAATCCCCAGTGCCAAAAACAAAAACAACAACAACAACAAAACAAGACAACTGCCTCAAGAAAACCAAGAAAAATAAATAAATAACCCTCCCTTATGAAGGGCATTTCAATGAAAAATTAATTGCAATGACTTTAGTTTTAATGGGCAAGTGTGGCTGTACACGCTGGTGCACAACTGTCTTGGTTCCATTACAGAGACACCCTTAACCCAAGGAAGGCTTACGTACTACTAGCTTGCAGTAAGTCCTTGGGTGCACCGCAAGCAGAGCCCTGTGACATGATATCCACACTCTCATGTTGCTCGGGAGACATGGGCTCTTGTTTAATCTGCACCGATGAGTCTGGGGCAGGGGTACTGCCATGGGCCTGGAGTGCAGCCGACGTGGTTACTTGCAGAGGGGCTCCAGTGGGTGACAGACACCCATGTGAAGGAGGTGGTCCCAGAAAAGCTGGGAAAAAAGGAGCAGGCAGTAGTGTGGCATCAGCGGATGTCTGAGATCTGCTGCTCCTCTGTTCTCGGATGAAGTTATAGGGAGGCTGGTCTGGGTGCTCAGAAGGTTCATAGGTTTCTAGAATGGGAAACACATATACACAAATGCAAAAATGGTACTTGTGAAGTCACTTTTCTGAGCCAATTTGCATTTTAAAGATTAGATAAGAATTTTTTTTTGGTACGGGGATCGAACTTGGAATCGTGTGCTTGCAAGGCAGGTGGCAGAACCACTGAGCTAAATCCCCAGGCCTAGATAAAAATTTTAAATTAATAAATATATTAGTATACACTATCATATTTCTTCAAAATACAACGACTACCAAGGACACAGAACCAGCATCGACATTTCAATTTTTCAAATTTTAAGTAACTGACTTAAAGTTATAGTCTTACAAAAGTTATACTAAAGAGCCCTTTCTACAGAAGGAGGAAGCCAGGGAGTCGAGCTAAATTATAAGACCTTTTCATAACTACTCTTCCTCCTCCTCTATAAACAACAAAGAGCAGTAAGCTACGGGGTGCGGGGGATCATCACACATGCAGTAGATACCTTGCAATCCCTGCAGAATCTGTATCCGATGGGTCCTCAGTGCACTCATCTCCATAGTTATCTAAAAACAAAGTGTGTGATTAAGCCTATTGAAACCTAACTCTGATTTGATTTGTTGTCCTCAGACCATTCATATCCTATTACCTGCTGCTTGAGCACGAGTAGCTTCTGAACTTCGACGTACGCCGTCTGCAGGGCTGCCCGGGCTTGCAGAAGGTTGTTATCCATGCACTGCAGGGATTTGCTTAGTTCTTCCTCTCTTAAGGAGATATGCAGCAGCTGGTCAACCTGAGATCGTTCTGCTGACAGATCGTAAGGCCAAGCTTTAATACTAGAGGCTTCTCTATAATCATGGGACTGCTCAGAAGGCAGAAGTCCATCAATGATTTAAGATTAGCCTTTATTTTATCAATAAGTCAATGGAAACTCAACAAATCTCATAAAACACCTGCTCAAGACTGATGGCATTAAAGCTAGAAACCAAAGACAGAGGAGGTAAGATGGAGGTGTACTGTCTGCAAGCGAACTTTGTCTAGGCACATAAGCTCTTCTAAGTTTCATCTCCCACTCTTCCATTATCCGCCATCTACTGAACTCAGGGCTTTTGTTCAGATTGGTCTCAGGTCCACACTATTTGCATTCTCCTTCCAAGCCACATTCAAGGGCTGGGTGTTTAGCTCAGTGGCACAGTGCTTTCCTGGCAAGCATGAGGTCCTGAGTTCAATCCCTGGTACCAAAAACACAAAACAAACCAAGCCACTTTCTTCTAGTCTGTCAACTAACTTGAAATAATTTTCTTTAGTCAGATTATTTGCTTTTGTTACAAATATTCTTTAGTTCCTTACATATTCTGGACATTAAACATTTATCAGATGTATCATTTGCAAATATCTTCCCCATGTGTTAGATTGTCTTGTTCTCTACTGATTTATTTCTTTGATATATGCAGAGGCTTTTTAGTTTGATGCAATCCTATTTACCAATTTTGCTTGGGAGGGGGTCTTGTCCTTTTCTTTTTGGTACCGGGGATAAAACTTGGGTCCTTGCACTTGCAAGTGTAGGCAGCAGAACCACTGAGCTAAATCTCCAGTCCCTCTTTTTTTTTTGAGAGAGAAGGTCTCATTATGTAGTTCAGTCTGGCCCTGAACTCATTAACTCACTATGTACCCCAGGCTGGCCTCAGACTGGATCCTCCCACCTCAGCCTCCCAAGTGCTGGGATTACAGGTGTGTGCCACCACACCTGGCTTACTTTTGAGGTCTTATCCAAAAATCTTTGTTTATTCCAATGTTCTGACACATTTCCCTACGTTTTCTAGTAGTTTTATAGTTTTTTTTTAAATGTTCCCTAAAGAAAATACAACTTCAGGGCTGGGGATTTAGCTCAGTGGTTCTGCCGCCTGCCTTGCAAGCACAAGGACCCGAGTTCAATCCCCGGTACCAAAAAAAAAAAAAAAAGAAAGAAAAAGAAAAAAGAAAAAAGAAAAAGAAAATACAACTTCAATAATGTGTCAGCAGAAACCCAAACAGACTCAGTTTTTCCTACTTATACATTTGCAACACAGATCCTTGTGACATCAGATTTATCAAGCAGATTATTAAGCAAGTAATCAGTTCCTCAGTGGACACAAGTTCACTAGACTAGTTCAGTGTCTAGTTCAGTGGGCACTAGCTGTGTCCTCCAAATCATTCTGATACTATTTACCTAAAGACAGCATCAGTGCCCACAAATGTAGAACTCCGTCCCCAAGACTAACCTCATACTCAGGGGCAACTGCAAACCCCAAGTTGTTTTACCTATGCTTCTGATAGGTATAAACTAGGGTTCCCACAACAACTCTTCAAGTTCAGTTAATCTGCTAGAGTGGATGGCATAACTCAAGGAAATATTTATACTTCCTGGTTTATTACAAAGGACACAGATGAAGAAACACATATCAGAAGGCATATGGAAAGGTGTGTGGGGCTTCTGGGCCTCTCCATATTCGCCATGCTCCAGGAACCTCCATGTGCCCAGCTATCTGATGGTCTCCAAACCCTGTCTTGTGGAGTTTTTATGCAGACTTCATTACACAGGCATCAGTGATTAAATTTTTAGACACCATTGATCAATTTAACCTTCAGCTTTTCCTCTCTGGAAGTCAGGCAGTGAGGCTGATGAGGCTGAGAGTCCCAACCCTTCGATTCTACCTTGGCTTTCATATAACCATCCTTATTTTCAAGCTATCCCGGCCAGTTAGCCAGTTAGTCATTAGCATATAAAAAAACAAGCACTTCAGAGCTTCTTAGAATTTTAAAGTTATATGCGAAAGAAAGACAGACTGACAGATAACCAACCAAAAATGTACTTCACAATATCAAGATATGTCACATTTCATTAGTTTAAAATGTTCTATTATATGTATGTGTTTATCATCATATTTGTCCCTAACTCAGTATGCTAAGACCTCTCTCCTAAACGCTAGGTTCACATATACAGCCATTAATTGAATACTCCTCTAAGTGTCTCAAAGGTCCACTTGGTCAAAGGATCCAAAAGGGAACTCAATCTTGCTCCACCCTCAATCTGCTCCCATCATGGAGTCTTCCAGCTCTATAAATGATACCACCATTTAACTGGTTGCCTCAGCCAGAAACTAGGTTGTCCTTAAAACTCCCTTATCTATCCGATCCACTCACTCAAGACTTCCCCATCATTTCCTGCAAGGACAGCAAGTCACTGAAACCTATCAGTGGGGAAACGAAACAACCATAATGTCTCTCCTTAATGCACATCAGAAAAGCAACCAGAAGGCCCCCCCCAAAAAAAAAAAAACAAGAGAAATGGCTATCAATGACCAAGAGAGGTAATGTTTTTACTAAATCCACTGTTTATCTTCATCCCAGGGTCTTCCCTGTGAGACTTTCTGGGATTATACTGATATATAACCTTAGCTTCCAGGTCTATGTGGCACCATATATGCCCTTTCTCGCTGTACCTGGGTGTCAGAGGAAACCAAACTTTGCTCTACTCTTTAGCAAGACAATACTGTCTAATAAATAAGTGGATAATCAGTGTTTTGATGACCACAAACTGTGTTGCATCAAGCTGTAAAAAGTCTGAAGTGCTACAAGAACAACAACTTTCTGCCAAAACATTCTGTACCTTACCTTTCTTTCCTTTAATTTTCCTTCTTTTATTTTTTCTCTCAAGACTTGGGAGTTCAGGAGAAGATCCATCCTGAGGAAATAAAGATATTTTAATAATATCAAGTATGTATGGTCATTATCCAAGAGAGAAAAAAGAATAAATTCTCAATAGTCACACCGTCCTTCACTATTGCTATCATCTCTTAACGAAACAACAGGAGGCTCACATACAACTCAAATATTAGCTAAAAGAACGTAGTCGGGGATTTAGCTCAGGGGTTCTGCCACCTGCCTCACAAGCACAAGGTCCTGTGTTCGATCCCTGGCACCTCCCCCACCCCCCAAAAAAGAATATATTTGCAGAGTCCAAACTCAAATGTCCCCCTAGCATCCTCTGGGTGATAAAGGTCATGGGTCTTAGGCAAAGCAATCCACAGATGGGAGAACTGGTGATCATGAATATGTACTCTGAGTTCATTTTGGTATAGTTTCTACTTTGCTTTTGCTTTTTTGACAGTCTCATTAGGTAGTCCAGGTTGGCTTTGAACTTGCTATGTATCCCTGACTAGCCTTGAACTTGCTGGCTTCGGTTTCTAGTTTGAATTTCATCAAGAAAAATCTCTACAAGAAGCTAAACCATCTATGAGACAAATCTCAAGATAATAACTTTGTCAAAAGACAATCTCAAGCTTCAAGTATATTTCTGATCATCTAATAGTATTCCCTACGTAGTGTTTAGTTGAAAGGAACAGAGTTGAAATTTGAAATGGGTCTATAACCCACTACACTAACTGCTGTTCATTTTGTTTTATTTTTAAATTTTTTTTGTTTTTATTTTTATTGTTTTCTATACTGGGCATTAGGAGTTGGGAACTAGGCTCTTCGCACTGAGCCATCCCCCACCCTTTTGAGACAAGGTCTTGCTAAATTGCCCAGGCTAGGCTCTTCAGCCTCTCAGAATGCTGGGATTATAGGAGTGCACTGCTACACCCAGCTACTGCCTTGTTTTATGTTTTAATGGGCCTGTTTTTTTCACAGGGCCAGATTCCAGACTGCATCTCTTCCAGAAACTTTCTTTTTAGAAAGAAATCCTGAAAGAGGGCTGGGGGATTAGCTCAGTGGTTCCGCTGCCTGCCTTGCAAGCGTAAGGACCCGAGTTCGATCCCCAGTACTAAAAAAAAAAAAAAAAATCCTGAAAGGGTTAAGCAATTCGTGTGAAAGGAATGCCAGAAAAGCAAAAATGATACCCACGAAGAAAAACTCCCTGTTAGGACCAGGCTGGATAACTAAAGGACAAAAGAGAATTACAAAGGCAAGCAAGCAAGCAGACATGGCCAGGAATGGTGGCATACACCTATAATCTCAGCGACTTGAGAGGCTGAAGTTTAGGATCACAAGTTAAAGCCCTGCTTGGACAACTTAGCAAGACCCTATCTCGAAATAAAATAAAAAGGGATGGGGCTATCAGTCAGCACTCCTTGGTTTCAATCCCTAGGACCACTGAATGAATGAAATGATGAATGAGACAAAATGAAGTTGGGAGTGGTTGGTGAAAGCCTTGTAATCCCAGCTCCTGGTACTTGGGAGACTGAGGTAAGAGGACTGCAAAAGGGCCCCTATCTCCAAATAAAATAAAAATGGGGCCAGGGATTTAGCTCAGTGGCATGTGTACCTGCCTGGCAAGTGAGAGTTCCTGAGTTCAATCCCTGGTACCACAAAGTGAAACAAAACAAAAGCAACAAATTAAATAAAAATGGCTGGGGGTGTAGCTCAGTGCTTTCCTAGCATGTAACAGGCCCTAGTTCAATCCTCAATACTGGGGGAAAAAAAAGATTAAAAATTTTTCTATACCTCTCTCTATATATATTTGTACTCTAAAAGTATCAAAGCACTTTTAACTTTAAATCTCACAGTCCTGAATGCAACAAGTAGACAATCCAACAATAGAACACTTTAACTCAGAAGCAGTACAGACTGCATTTATGAAAACAGATTAAATTACAGCTGAAGATATTACTTATCCTTGGTCAAGTGATACAATCATTGGGTGGGAGACTAGTTTTAGACATGACTTCATATTTTCCTGGTACTGTATATTCATATTACATTACATCTAATTTAGCAGAACTACTCAGTGAAAGAAATCAGTAAGATGAAAGTTAAGAGCCTCACAACTCTATTCCAAGGTAGAGAGAACCATAACCCCAAGTAGCCAGAAAAATCTAACAGTCAAGCCTTCCTCATAAACAAGTCATCACATAAGATGTTCCATAAAAAGCACGGAAAAATCATACTCACTCCAGTGGCTCTTCGCTTCTTTCTAATACACTGGCCATCATTCTGTTCAGCACCAGAGGTACAGCTACTATCTGTAGCTGCATCTGCCAAGCTGGAGATTGCAAGGACTGAGGACGCATTTGATGACGGACAGCTCCCTTCTCCAGTGCTCTCCAGGGCATTTTGAGTCTTGGGTGGTGATATAGAGCATTCCTGGCTGTTCATATCTTTTGCAGAATGCATCGAAGGTATCATATGGTCAGATGGCAATTGTGTACTATGTCGCCTTCGGATAGCGAAGTTTTCAGCCCTTTCACATGTTCTGAGGGAGGCAGGCAGAGGTGTTGCTTCCTGTTTAAGGCACAGGGTTGCTTTCTGACTCTGTGCAACACTCAGTGAGTTACTAGGTGAAACAATCTGCTGGGGCTCATTTTCTTTGCCAGTCCCTTCCTCACTGAAGAAGCTGTATACAGGAGCCCTGTCGGTGATCACACTGCTCTCAGAAAGGCTTCGCTTTCTGGCCAACCCAGGGGATGAGGAAATGGAAACAGCTTCCCACTGGAACCCTTCAAGACTGGACAGGTCAGGCTCCCCATCTAAATCTAAGACTTCTTGTTCATTCTGAACCAGAGGTACCATTTCTATGCCAAACCTTAAAAAAATGCAAAGACAAAACCAAATCAGACATGGTCAGGGGGAGGGGCCCTACTGAATATGTTAGGCTCTGCTGAGCACAAAAACAAATGAGAAGCTGGGCGTGGTGGTGCACGCCTGCAATCCCAACACTCAGGAGGCTAAGGTAGGAGGATTGCTGTGAGTTCAAGACCAGCTTGGGCTACTACATACTGAGTTCCAAGTCAGTCTCAACTATATAGTGAGACCCTGTTTCAAAAACAAACAAACATAAAATCCTAATGAGATAAATGACATTGTGAAATGGGAAGAAAAGGGCTAAAGGTGTAGGGAAAGTGGGAAGGGTAGGGGAAAGGTAATAAGGGAAAAGAAAAAAGTGTGAGAAAATGAAAAGATGGAAATAAAGTGTTTACAAATGGCGGGGGTGAAGGGAGGGCAGGGAAAAGGGAAAAAAATGAGAACCAAGACCTGTCATGTAAAGGTACAAGATCCCAATAATGAATGTAACTGCACTGTATACCTAAAATGTACCAATAAACTCAATTTAAAACAAATAAACAAAAAAGTGAATGAGATTTTTGCCTTTAAAGTGGTTGAGAGTTTGATAAGCAATTGATCCAGGCATAAAGTAAATATATTATAAATATTTAAATGTCACAAGTGCTAAATTAGAGACTAGATTACAGCTAAGAGAATACATGCAAAGGAGTAAAAATTGAGTTTTATTTCAAATGAAGCTACAACAAATACATCAATCTTTAAAGTGAACAAACCAAAACAGACAAAACTAATATTTACAAATGCCAGGGACTGTGCTAAGGCTGAGTAATTAATCTCAAGTACTACTCACGAGGTCTGGAAAATTTTTAAAAAGGAAACAAAATGAATCCATTATTTCAATGAGAACAAAAATGGCCCCAAGCATGGATAACTGTGTAATACTGTAGAATTAGAATCTTTAAGTAGTAAACCTTTGTTGCACATTGCTTTACCATTCAAAAAGTTTAGTACTTAACTTCAAATGAACAGCCAAAATACTACAAGTCTTTAAGAGAGAAAGTACTTTGTGATCCTAAGTAAAATGCCCAGAATACATAGAGAAAGGTAACGATCCACAGGTTCTAAGCAAAAGGTAACAAGAACAGTTATACCTAAAACATTAAAACAGTTATATCCTAACATTAAGATCTAGCAAAACACACAGATTTCTGGACATACAGTTTCATGCTGTTACTTTTAGCTTCTTTAGAGTGATGATATTTTTTCCCCTGTACCCCTCTAGTTTCTCAGAAGGAAATATATTTCTATTTTAACTGCATTCACTGCTAGAAAAGTCTGGATTCTATTTGGTCTTACAGTACTACTCAGCCTTTGATAGGCAATTAAATCAGAAACCTACAGAGGGTATTTTTAGCAAACATTTAACTAAATGAAACAAGCAGAATTCTCACCGAGGTCAAAGGGTAACTTTGAAAGAATGCAAGAAAGACAGATACTGAAAAGAGGCACACACCTGGGTAAGCCTTTGCCCAGCTCTTGCTTTTTCCTGGTTACTTGCTGAATGACCTGTTCCCAGTTAACATTTCTCCGAGATGCATTCAGAATCTGTCGCAGGGTTGGCTTGAGACCAGACTCCTTCTCTGTTTCACTCTTCCGATGACCACTAATATTGCGAATGCGGCGGGCACTATTGAGGTTTGGCTCAGGAAGGTGTGCTCCAGTCTTGCTCTTTGAACTGATGTGCCGGGTTAGATCTCTCTGGAGGGAGGCAGGAAAGCCAAGTCTACTTAGTTCAGGCAGAAGAGAACCGGAGGGCTGACTGATACCACTTTTGTGAAGTTGTGCTTCCAAGCTAGTACTCTCAAAGGCTTCTGCTTCATAAGATACGTGAGATTTAACAGGGTCAGCACCCTGGCTGTCTAGAGAAGTCTTCAGATCCAGGAGTAAGCCAGAGTGTGGACTGGCTGCAGATGGCATTTGTGACTCAGATTCTTTCTCATTAACCGTAGAATTACATGAGGTAAAGGCAAGTTTTCCAGACGCTTTCAGGATCTGGTCATCTTCTTCTTTCTCACCAAGAGTATGAGCGCTGCAGGGTAAAATTTCTGTAGTTGCAGAACCCAGGGTTCCAATTTTCGTTCCATGCTTTTCTGTGTCAGATGTTTCTCCATCACTTTCATCTTCTAATGTTTGTACTTGAAATTCAATCTTCAAAGATCCTTTTTCAGACTCCTGTACATTCCTACTTGCTTTTGCATAGATCCTGGTCCTTTTAGAAGTGCTATGAGGTGGATCCTTCAATGACTCATGACACTGTAGCATTTCTTTGGCTTTTTGTATTGTATTAGTTAAATTAAGATCCAAATCTTTCTGAGTGCCAGATGCAGTCTTACTCCCTTTACGAGAACATGAAGTACGCGTTTTGGACAGGGAGGAAGAACCATGATTATCTTCTAAAGTGGGTTTGTTCAAGGGATTTGAGTTTCCTGCAGCAAAAGAATCTGTTTTGGTGTTTTTTGAGGGAGTCTTTGGGTCTTGCTTTTGAGAAATGGGTTTAGTGGCCGGAAGTGGAAGTGGGGATTTCAAAGAGAGCATCTTATTTGAATTATGTTCTTGTTCAGGGTTATCTATAATGGGACAATCTCTCACCACCTCACAGGAAGCAGGGTGGTCAGAAGGGGCTTTGTGATTAAGAGATCCATTAGGTTTTTCTTTTTGTGCTTTTAGTGTTGGGGAATTCTTAGCTTCATCAGTTAGAGGTGCTGGTATTCCTGCGGTTATCAAGCTAAAATCAAAGAGAGGCTTATCTGTCGTTTCTGACTTATTACCAGTGACTTCTTTCAATGCCGACTGTAAATCCAGACTCTTCTGGGAAGGGTACGGAGTCCAGCGATGGAGCTTTTCCCTTGCTACACTGCCATTCTTCCCACCAGTTTTGGTAGCTGCACTATCTATTTGTTTAGAAGTCTGGCTTTCTGGTTGCTCAAAATTGAAGTCATGTAAGTCTTCTGAAGGAAATCTATCACTGGTAAAGTCTTCAGAAGAACTTCTGTATGCCGCAACTGTACCAATTTTATCATTATCTTGCCACTGCCAATTATATCTCTCTTGATTGTATTTGCTTGACATATTAGATTTCTTGTTCCATGGCATATTCATGTCTTCCATCTGATAGTTAGAATTTCTGTTTCTGCCTGGTTGAAATTTGTCTCCAGGACCATTGTAATTCCAACTATTCATATTACGTACATTGGATTTCCAGTTTCCGTTACTGTTGTTCATATGCCAACTGGAAAAACCACCTGTTCCTTCAGAATGCCAACTGGAATTCCTTCCTGGACCATTATAATTCCAATCCACCATCCCATTATTTGGATGCCAACCTCCCCCAGAATTGCTATGGTTGTGAAACCAAGTTGAGGAGCCCCTTGCAATCCCATTATGCCACCCAGCACATCCTCTTGGTCCACCACCATTCCTCAAAGAATGTGAAAAGCCATTTTTCCTAGGATTATTAAAGCCATCTTTTTCCCATTTCCAATCCCACTGTGGAGGTCCACGATGATGCCTTGCTGGCTGACTGTAATTCTCTCTATCTTTGTAAGGAATTCGGTCTTCTCGTCTCCACTGGGGTTGTCTGCCATCTGAGTTTATTTCTTGGCTGCTACTAGAAGATTTGTCTTGTCTAGAAAAACAAATAATTTTTTCATTATTGATTTAAGAGTTCTTATGCTTCCTGTAAAGGCATAACCCAAACTTCCCCTCCATCTTTCTCCCTATGATTTACATTATGTGATAAATCTACTTTTACTTATAACAGTGATTGTTTTCATATCTTTAAAGATAATGATTAAATTTATATTTCTCAATTCACTAAATTAAAATTAAACAATATATTATCATCCTAAGAATGTTAAAAATCTGACATATTTACAAGATCCCAATGATAAATGTAACTGGATTGTTTGCTTTAAATGCACCAATAAACAATGGAAAAAACAAATCTGACATATTTACACCATTTTTCCTTTCTGAGGACGTTCCCATTTTTTTTGACATATTCTCGGATTTTGTCCCTATTATTATTTTTAGATTGTGCAACTTTTTCAAAATAAGAAAAGTATATTTCATAATTATAATTAATGCGATTTTAATGTTCACTTGGCTGCCTTTTATATATGATTGATTTCTCCAGCTGAAAGTCTTTTGAAAAATCCAGTTTCTCTATCATTTTGAATAGTAAACTTCTTATATTTTACTTTTATTTAATAAACACTTAAGTACCCACTCAACAACAGTGGCATAAGAAAACTTTTTTTTTTTTTGGTACCAGGGATCAAACTTGGGCCCTTGCACTAGCAAGGCAGGCGCTGGAAAGGAAAACTTTTGTGCATCGTTCCTATCTATGATGGCCTTAGAACCTGGCTGAGGAAATAAGGTCAAAAACAGGAGTAAAACAACATATATCCAGTAAGTAGTATCCATAATGGGTGCTATAAGGAGCTCTGGGAACTAGAAATTTTTATTAAAAAACTACAGCTTCGCCGGGATTGGTGGTACATGCCTGTAATCCCATCACTCAGGAGGCTGAGGCAAGATGATCACTTTGAGTTCGAGACCAGCCTGGGTGTACATAGTGAGTTCCAGGTCAGTCTCAACTACACAGTGAGACCCTGTTTCAAAAAAAACTAAAAACTAAAAACTAAAAACTAAAAACTAAAAACTAAAAACTAAAAACTAAAAACTAAAAACTAAAAACTAAAAACTAAAAAAAAAAAAAAAAAAAAAAAAAAAAAAAAAAAAAAAAGCTACAGCTTCAAATGCTATTTGAATTATTCATGATAAGAGTCCACAGAAGTGTAGTTTAAATTTAAGCAAACATCATTGCAACAGGTTTAAAACCATTTTCTTTTGTAAACTGTCTACGGTTTATCCAAAACAGTGATCAGAATGTATCAGGTGATCAAAATATGGAATACTAGTTAACAGTTACAGAAAAATCTACTAAATGTCAGGCATTTAATGCAAGCTAGTACTTTATATAGATTACTTCACTTAACTGCCACAATTCTGAGGCAAATAATATTATTTGTAATATCTTGAAATGAAGAAACAAGATTAAAGCAATCACATAAACTGTCGAGTAAGACAGGAAGTGGTAAAAGCAGAAACTTGAACCTTGGCAGTCTGACTTGCGTTTATACTCCTAACCAGGAGGCCTTTACAGAATGAAAGTCCCAAAAGAAGTTGCCACACCTTGTTTTCTCTAAACTTGACCAAAAATCTTAAAGCTTAGTATTGACTTTAATTGGCTGGAAAAAGCTTATAATACCTATTAAATAACTTCTGGACACAAATTGCAGTTCCTTCCTTTTGCTTTTTTGTTTTGTTTTGTTTGTACCAGGGACCAAACTCAGGACCTTGCGCTTGCTAGGCAGGCGGCGGCACCACTGAGCTAAATCCCTGGCCTGATTACTTCCTTTTTCACAAAACAGATTTAAAACTTAATGCATCTTGAAAACTTCAAATATCTACTTACATTATAAATTGCAACTATACCTGAACAAGAGACCTGAAGTCCCCAAGGAACAAGTGCCATTACACACACAAGGTTTGCTTTGAGGGTAGTCATCATCATTAATCAAACTGCTTTTTTCTTTTATTTCTAAATAGTAGGCAACTTTTAACATCTAAAGGAATCACAAACTCAGCCATACTAATGTGGTCAGAAGTAGGGAAAGAAATGAGTAATAAATCACAAAGCAGAAGTCTTAAGATTATCATGAACTGCCTAGACTGAGGGGGTAATAGCACTCAGTTAAACCCACATCCTAGAAAAAACAATCTAAGAGGGAGCCAAGACTTGTAATGCCAGTTACTTGGGAAGCTGAGGCAAGAAGGTCAAAAGTTTGAGGCCAGCTTGGGCAACTTAGCAAAACCATGTCTCAAAATTTACAAACAGGAATAGGGATGTAAGTCAGCGGTACCATGCTGGGTTCAATCCCCAGTACAAGGTGTGGGGGGGCCTAACTCATCAGGGAAAGAAGAAAATTAAAAAACATCATGAAGGGGGCTCAGTGGTGCCGCTGCCTGCTTTACAAGCACAAGGTCCCAAGTTCGATCCCCAGTACCAAAAGGAAAAAAAAAAAAAGAAGAAATAAGATTTTATAAATAAGTCATCACAGAGGCATATAAAAAGACTCACAGAACAATAACAGTGTGATATCAATGTTTAATTTGCTAAGATGCTTCTTACTCTTAGTTAACGTTTAATCATTTATATATACAAACTAATAATGGCACAGCTGTGTAAGAATAGAACAGAAGTTAGTCTCCTAGAGACTCCAACTTCCTAAAACAGAAGAATCAACTCTAGCTGTACTGAAAGTAATGAGAATATCTTTTGAAGGACTAAGCAATTGAAGAATTCAAGAACCATGTTGCTAATGATATTAAAACTAAGAAAGTCTCCTTCAAAAATTTGTTCAGAAAACTTCTAATGTATGGTTCTCTCCCTTTTATTCATCTCTTAAAAATTGTCTTATTAATTAAAACTTTTTAGGATACAAAAATCAGTAAAAACACAATGTCTAACACTTGCTTACATAAATGTAGGTATAAAATTATTCAGCACAAGCCACAGAATGTATTGCTCAAATGACCTTGACACTATCAAATTTAAAATAAATTTATTCAATAAATATTTATAAAGAAGGCACTTAGTGTAAACCAAGCACTGTTAAGTCACCAAGGATTCAAAGACACAGAAAAATCAAATTTGCCAGAGGCAGCATGTTAATTCACAGCAGGTAAACACTGTAATTTATTCAATGATGCTTATACTCCTAATAGCTTTTCACTATGAAATATGAATACCAATAAGAATGGTGTAAACTTAGTCACCAATATGACAAAAATGCCAGACATTTGGTGGGCTTTTTTTAAAATTTTTTTTTAGAGTAAATAGTACAGTAATTCAAGAAAGCATTTCATGGTCCTTTACTCAGACTGCAACCTGAGGCTAAACTTTTAACTAAGATAAGTGTAAATGCTAGAGACTGAAAAGTACAAATATGTTGTTACAGAAAGGCTTTTAAATAATCATTACTGGGCCAGGGATTTAGCTCAGTGGTTCTGCCACCTGCCTCGCAAGCACAAGGTCCTAAGTTTGATTGCCAGTACCAAAAAACAAACAAAACAAAACAAACAAAATAACTACTTACCGACTTTGTTCTTTCCTTTGTTTTATTAACTGAACAAGTTCCTTGTCAAAATATTCCTCTTCCTCTTCTTCTCCCTTTCCATCTTCTTCTCTTTCCTGAGCATCAACATTATCTTTGTGCAACTGGCCAGAAATGTGTTTTGCATATGCAGAGAGACCCACTGTGGTGACTCCGCACACGCGGCACTCGTGGCTACTGTCCCTAGGGAGAGAGGGAGACGAGGGACATTCAATTCTCCCCACTGGCATGGCACACTCACGAGATGCGTTACGGTTTCCTCCGAAAGACACTGTATGATTTGGCACAGTGGATAATTAGTGCTCATCAATTTTAATGCTCCTTTCATCACTTTTTATAGGTTTGTTCATAAGTTACTTCTGAAATGATCTTTAGATTCCTTTCCAGCAATCAAGAGGCAATACACTTCGGATTAATGAGCTTTAGGAGGAGAGATCTTCTTGAATTGCTGTACTTAAGATCTTGCAGAGGAAACGTGGTGAAAGGGGAGGCAGGGCAGGGGGCTCAGAGCAAACACGAGTTGCTCTGGAGCACACCCATGGTGCCAGCTGCACTCAGAGAGCCTGGCGACAGCGCTCGGATTTAACCTCCTGCTCTGGAGCGTTCTTCCAGTCAAAGTTAAGGGGTGGAGAAAGGAGAAGGTAGCGCAGCCAATCCCAACAGAGAGCTATATCTGAACGGCTGGCACTCTGCCCGGAATGTGGAGATTCCGATAGGAGTCGTCCTCAGAAGCTTTTTTTGATCTGGATGGTACATGTGACCTACACTCTGCTTCAGAAGGGCTTATTTTAAAGGGAATGGCAAGCATTTCAGTTGTGGGACGTTAACAGCTGTGTTAGGCAAATGTTTTTTCTCAAGTTTCAGAAAACGTTACAGTTCAGAGAGAAGCAAAACTAGATTTTTATTTAAACTGGAGAGACTAATTTTTTTTTTCATTCGCTTGACAACACTCAATGGTGAAATTAATACTTGGCCAGTCTTAAGAGGCCAACATCTTAGAATCTACTCCAGGCCTATAATAGAGTAACAGTCTTGCTGCTCTCTGGCATGATGGGTCAGCTGTCTATGCAGTCACTGATGAGAAACATTGGAATACCACGGCTGCGGGGCAGTAGTATCCATTCAATAATCCAAACTGGCTTCATCCCATATCGTGTGTCTTGAATTTATAGTAGTTATATTTTTGTATTTCCTATATTGATCTATTAAAAAAAATCAACATAACAAGACATGCTTTGGCCAGACAGAAACACACACTTGTGAGGCACCTCTCACCACCTTATCACATACACCTATCAGAACATGGGCAGAATTTGTATCGATTAAACCAGAAGAGATTTGAAACTGAGCACCTCATTTACTGAAGACAATTTCTGTAATAGATCACTTAAATGTTGATTTAAAACAAAATAAAATAGCCACGCGTGGTGGCGCATGCCTGCAATTCCAGCACTCAGGAGGCTGAGGCAGGAGGATCACTGTGAGTTCAAGACCAGCCTGGGCTACACAGTGAGTTCCAGGTCAGTCTCAACTACATAGTGAGACCCTGTCTCAAAAAACCAAAAAAAATTTTTTAAATAAAATAAATAAAAATAAAACCAAAAACCACCTTATTAAGCAACTACTAAATGTGAGACACCAGGATCGCCCAGGATGGCAAAGTATAAACATCTGAACAATGTCCAAGAAGTGTACAAAAACAGTACTTTTTTTTTTTTTTTTTTTGAGATAGGGTCTCCCTATGTAGTCCAGGCTGACCTCAAATTTGGCTCAATAATAGGACCTTTGCCTAGCGTTAAGACCCTATGTTTGATCCTCAGTACAACAAAAATTAAACACACACACACACACACACACACACACACACACACACACACACAAATACAATACTGTTTCTTTCTTACTTTGTAAGCATCAAGAAGAAAAACATTGGGCCAGGGACTTGGTTCAGTGGTCCCACTGCCTCACAAGCACAAGGGCCCAAGTTCAATCAATTTTCCAATTAGAAAATGTTTTTGTCTTTAAACTCCCTAAAATCCTGTTTTCCACATAAGAACTTATAGAATGCTAAACTCTATTATATTACAGTAGTACTAGTAACATCATTCTACTGGGAACGTTAGTATAATCCCTAAAAGATTCTTAAATTCCTGATTTTAGAGCCAGAGATTTAGCTCATTGGCACCACGTCTGCCTCACAAGTGCAAAGTCCTGCCTGAGTTTGATCCCTAAGAAATTTTTCTGGTACCGGGGATCGAACTCAGGTCCTTGTACTTGCAAGGCAGGCCACCAAACCGCTGAGCTAAATGCCCAGCCCCACAATTTTTTGATTTGTATCCTAATTTCTAAAATGCCTGGCACAGGCTTATAATCCCAGCAGGAGACAAGAGGATTGCTGCCTCAGCCTTCCAAATGCTGGGATTACAGGAATGTGCTATGGCTCAAAATAACAGTTTTCTGGTTTTTTTGAGACAGTGTCTTGCTATGTAGTTCAGGCTCATTATGTATTATATTTGAACTCATTATGTAACCCAGATCTTCCCGCCTCAGCCTCCCAAATGCTGGGATTATAGGTGTGCACCACCACACTCAGATCAAATAGATTTTTTTAAATATTTTGCTTTCCTTGAGAAAAAGAACATAGCCACAGTTCAATAAGTGTGACATAAATGCTAATTTTAAAACAATTTAATAAAAAAACAGAAATCTCTAACTTTTCTTATTAATAAAATCTAGTTTTAAAAAGTGAGATAAACTTTACAAGAAACTTCCACAAGAGAGAATCTACATTTATACAGAAAAAGAATGGGGTAGGACAACTATATTTTCTGAAAATTCAATATATATAGAGGCAACCATGTAACCTCTAGTCTACACACAACAGGTATCAATGTTTCCACATACATGTGTTTGGGAAGCCATGTGCTTTTAAAAGTTAATAGCAAACTAAGTATTTATTGGTGCTGCTTAACAAATCTTTTATTAATAACCAGTTTAAATATCCTGTAAAAGTGTATAAAATGATTAGAGCAAAATGTGCTGCTTTCACTTCTTACCAAGTAAGGTAATAATTTTCCCCAGTGTGCTTAAAGGACCCAAATTAGCTTCATCCTGTTACCATACGACTTCCTTTCCTGGTGAAAGGCAGTCTTAGTCTCTGCATAAGCTTTTCTCTATTAAGCTTGCTCTAACTACACAACAGCTGCTTGATAAATAAAGGTCGAATCTTTTTGACAGCATCTTATCTGGAGGAACTACTTAGCGAACAGCCATCTGAACTAATGTTAGGAAAAAACAGATAAGTGTTATGGATGTTCAGAACTGTATACCAAGAGGAACAGTTACTTCTCATTTGAGCTTGCATTCAAAGCTTAAAAACTAGGTACTTTACAATTCCTCACCAAATCACAACCAGAAAATAAAGATACAACTGTAAACAGAAAGTCTTAACATCAGCAATTTCATAATTAAACATGAAATCCAGAGGAAATAATCACAAACTGTGGAGAACAGGAAAAAGGAATACCTGGTGATTCTTTGTCCTCAGGGTACAAACTAGTAATGATTTGTCTCTTTCAAGTCAATGTTTATTTTTTAAATATTTTTCCAGCTTTTTTTCTTGCTATTTGCTGTCTCCTCCTTTCACCTTTACAGGCTGTTTTGCGGGGGTACCAGGGATTGAACTCAGGACCTTGAGCTTGCAAGGCAGGGAGCCGCACCACTGAGCTAAAACCGGTCCCAGTATTTATTTTTGATAATACTGGTGATTGAACCTAGGCCTTCACATTGAGCATATCTCCAGCCTTTGCTTTATTTTTAAAGTTGAAACAGAGTCTAGATAAGTCACTAAGTTGCCCAGGCTGGGCTTAAACTCATAATCCTCCTGCCTCAAATTCCCAGAGTGCTAGGGTTGCAGGTGTGAGCTACCATGGCCTGGCTTCCCATAAAAATGTTTATAGACCCCAAAACCATACAGGATTTGTTAGCATTGCATCTAACATATGAAAAAATTAATAAATACTACCTAAAGTGCCCTCTCTCAGTACAATGAATTAGGGTATAAAAACTGGTATTTGTATTAGCAGCTCAGACACTTTTAATGTTCTTCTATGTGCAACTGTAAATACACAGGAAGAGGTCTGGGGAAGATGTACTCTGTTGACTCTCTAAGACAGAAGTGGGATTTAAAGGGGTTGGGTCATGAAGATGTCTATTTTCTTTAACTTTTTATGATTCTGAACTCATTACGAAGATGAATCTTTATAACCAAAATTTGCTTTCTAAAGTTTTATACAGCTGATTAGTGATTTCTGAATTAAAGAAGACACTAGCATTGGGACTGTAATCACCTTCTCTCCTGACTAGATTTCCTGACCTCATTTATTTGTTGATTTAATACAGTAGTAATACAGTACATACAGGACAGATGGCAGTTAAATAGCCCAAAAGAAGTTGAACTCCAGAAGGAAGTCTTTTGGAAATGGAGCAAATAAATAGTTAAAATAATCCACGTAGAATCAATATCTAATTACATTTCATAGGTTTCTTACACTAATGAGTTAGAGATCACATATATTCGAGGTAATATGACAAGGGTTCCCCCCCTACTAAATCTGAGAGAAATCATCTGTACACTGTTGCTTAATTTAACCTTCACCCAGTATGGAACTGGGGCATGGAAAAGTCCATTAGTATGTTACAGAAATGCTGAAAATTTAGTAACATAAATTTGCCCACACAACCTAAAACAATATGGCTTACAGTAAAGTTAATACAATGTCAGGCTGGCATGGTGGTATACACCACTCCCAGCACTCTGGAGGCTGAGACAGGAGGATCACTGCAAGTTCAAGGCCAACCTGGGCTACCTAGTAAGACTGTTTCAAAACAAACAAAAAATACAATGTCAAAAGAACTAGGATGACATCCGGATCAAAACTTTTAACTACTATTCATGGAATAAAACATAATACATATTTCTTAGTTTCCTAATACCTCTTTATCTGGCCTCTAAACTTCAAATTCACAGAAGTAAAAAACATCAAAAAAGGAGCTACTGACAGAGACAGGGAATACAAATATGCTACATTTTCTTTTAAAGCTGCTTATTAAATTTTCTTCCCTTAAACATTTCAATCTTTAAATGAAAAAAGAGCATCCTCAGGCTGGGGAGTTAGCTCAGTGGTTCCGCCGCCTGCCTTGCAAGCACAAAGGCCTGAGTTCGATCCCCAGCACAGAAAAAAAAAAAAAAAAAA